TCCTATCCTTCAAAAAAAAAAAAAAAAAATTAAGAGATCGTTAGTTCATCAACCTATCATTGACGGTCTTTCAAGCAAAATCCACCAATCATAGACGAGAAAATAGAGCGTAAGTACTTACGCGTTTCACTAAACGAGTTTTGAAAGCATGGCCCCTGGTCTTGATCAGGCTGTACTCACTGGCGTGCTGTATGAACTTACGGCTCCTAGTGCATTAAAGCTTCCTCTTGCTAGACGGTCAAAGCTTATCGTCTAATCAAGGGTACCTTATACAGCCTCTGGTTATAGTCTAATAGTTTAATATATACGTGTGATGCAATTCTATTAGTGTTGCCACTGCTGGCCAGAGGCGATAAACTGTCTTCATTATACATATATTGATGTGTTTGTTTATAGAGATGACTCCTCTGAACTTGGACGCTTTGTTGGAAGAATTTAAATCGATACCGATTTTTTAGAGTTTTAAAGAATATAATTGAATCCAACAAGCAGAAAACTTATCACAATATATTTTATCTTGTCATCAAAGTGAGTGAACCTTAGATAATTATTAAAAAATATCTCCACGGCGACGACTTTCATTATTCGTTCCCTGAAACAACCAAAAAAAAAAAATTCAAACAAAGAACCAACGATACGACTTTGTTGTCTCTCCCGTCACCCAACATTTGACGCAGCGGTTTTCTTGAATGTCCCAAAAAACATTTTTGTTTGACATGTAAACCTTTGTGTTGGATTTAGAGGACGGCCTCCCATTAGAGAGTTGATGCAATCTCAGGTTGATCGGCAAGCAGTCTGTCGCTCGCTGCAGAATTGCTTTCAGATGGATGGCAATTTAAGGTCATTTATCTTGCAGAGAAACTGCAGTACCCTCCGCTACGGTGATTTACATCATTCTTAGGTCTCCTCTTGGAAGGGATGGGTATTTTACTGGTTGCATGACCTGCAAATAATGAGAGAAGATAAGTACATTCTAAAATGCTCCGGGAAATTATTTTTTTCTTTTTGCTTTCATGATACTCCGAATATTCTGCATTTTATTTTAACCAAGCAAATATTATTCATTTGTTGTTATTGTGTATAATTTTCAGCGAGTATGATCATTTTAATTTTGCTTAAAACCTTCTTCTGTTGATCTGGTATCTTGTTACCCTAAGTCGCCTAATCCTTTTTAGCGCAATTTCTCATTTATGGAAAAAATGCACTATTGTGCTCACCATGTCCGTCTGTCTGTCCGTCCGTCTGTCCGTCCGTCCGTGACCTCAAGTTTCCGTCGACGAGAAAATGCGCTCTCTGTCACTCACTGCAGTGAGTACTGAGTTATATTTTTTTGTTATTATGTATAATTTTCAGCGTGTATGATCATTTTAATTTTGCTTAAAACCTTCTTCTGTTGATCTGGTATCTTGTTACCCTAAGTCGCCTAATCTTTTTTTCTATGTAACTTTTGTTCCTTGAAGCATGTTTGAAGTTTGTGAATTTAGTTGGCATGTGTTTGCAGCAGTCGCCGTTTATTTAATGCCAATTAAAACTTGAGACTTTAATAGCGTTGTGTAAGAACTCAGTTTCTTTATTCAAAATTTATTTATTCCCGCTGGAGTTTGTTTACTTTAATCGCGATTGTTTATTCTAGCAACAAATTATTAAATTAACTAGTTATTTTCTTTCTGCATGCTTGCAATCTTTTTGGTTCCGAGGAACTTCCTCCTTCTATTTTTGACACTAATTTGTTATTATTTTTTTGTATCCAAACTGTCTCGGGAATTGAATTTAATCAGTTGATGCGAATTAATTTCCTGCAGAATTTTTCACACTAAATTGGCTTAACTTACATTACTCATGTAATGAAGTTGAATTCATGTTTCTAACAGCTTTTTATTTACGACTAAAACGCTGCGAGAAAAAATGATTAGGATAGCGACATTTGAATGTGAAAGTTACTATAAAATATGGCAGTAAGTATTTAATGTTGGGTTAATGCTTCTCCTACCGAATTATGAAAGTTAACTTGGTAGCTGCTATAGCTAAAGTACGTGTATGTCAATGTAGCTGAATTGTGTGGATAGACGATCTTCCTTCGTTTCTCCCATTTTGCAACATTTGATTTTTGTGTAGATTTGTCTCACTGTGCCAAATAACAATTTTATAGTTGATTACAATGCAAAGTTAATGAAGGTAACGAGCGCGTGTGTCCAAATTTCCTAAATAGGCTAACGAGACATAAGTTGTTAGGCTCATTGTCTCATCGTTTTATTTAGCCTATTAACCAAATTTCCTAAATAAGTTGTTAGGCTCATAATTTGTTAGGCTCATTGCCTCGTCGTTTTGTTTAGCCTATTAATTCTCCCAAATTTTCCTTCTGTGAAAGACTGTCCGTCAAACCCCCCACACATTTAACCACAGCTGAAGGATTCACTTATGATATGATGTCCGGGCGTCTGTCTCTGTGTATTGTCTGTTATTTTTAATAATTTTGTCACATTTAGTCACGGAGTTGGCATGAATACAAAATGTAAGAATCATGTTTCAGCGAGCTCTCTTCTCTACATCCTGTTTGTTTATTTGTTTTCACAACCCAATCTGTTATAAACATGAACTTGGGTACTGAGATGAATACTTTTCTCATTTTTGCAAAAAGTATCATCGTATTTATCACGGAAATTCTTCTTTTTAAATTCTACACGATTCCAAATCTTTTTTTTGATGTTCGTAGGCAAAATTTTGCTGATCAAAGCACCTTGCGAGTAGCTTTGGACAAAGTATTTTCTTTAGACGTTTTTGGTCGTTCTTTATTTATGACACATCCGTTGAGGAATCTTTGTGACGATTCAAAAGTTGACCAGCAATAAGGTGCTAACAAAATTATAGTTTCATTATTGTTCGCGAAATTTTAAATTAATTTTCTAGTTTTTAGCGCATTTTCTCATTTATGGAAAAAAATGCACTATTGTGCTCGCCATGTCCGTCTGTCTGTCTGTCCGTCCGTCTGTCCGTGACCTCAAGTTTTCGTCGACGAGAAAATGCGCTCTCTGTCACTCACTGCTGTGATTACTGAGTTATATTTTTTTCAATTTTAATAACCCCGGTTTCGAGGTCAGAAGTTATAGGCATTTCAGTCACCGTATTCCTGTGCAAAAGGAGAAGTACCGTCTCGAGCTGTCGGATGCAAATCTGCGGTTCAGCAACGGAAAATAATTTAACATGAAAAATAATCTCAACAAATCTCTACTTTAGCGCCGAGACTTCACAATTTAGTTTTCTAGAACTCGTGAACATGAGAAGTCCCAGAAATCGAGAATTTTCATATAGAAATTTGTTGCTCAGCCTTTCTTATTATTTGAATGTAAATCCTTTTACTTTCTGGTCTAAAAATAACTCGCTTTATTTTGTATGACGCGTTTTTTCCCTATTTGAATATTGGTCTTTCTATAGTTGTAAAATTTTGCTTACTTATAAGCCGCGTTATAATGCAAACATATCAGGAACATTTTTCAAAACGAATTTTCCAGAAAAGTTGGCCATTTAATCCTGTAATTGACAAGAAAGTTGGTCAATTTCATGCCCCAGCCGATGAGAAATTTGAAATGAGTGCAAGTAACATTCTATGCTCTCTGTCTGCATTTTCGTTAAAGTACACTGTAAACTGAAAGTTTTCACATATCTCTTGCCTCTTTGAAACTGTTTTTGCTCACTGGATTAGGAGTTTGCTAAGCTATATCGCGACTAAGTTTTCTATGAACTTTAAATGAATTTAATTAGATTTCTTGATTTTTCTAGCTTAAAATAAGAGAAAATTTCCTTCATTTAGATGAAGAACAAAACGCAACAATTCATAGATGTTATGTACGAGCTTGAAATAATTTCGATTGTTCCAAAGTTTATCTAATCGTCAATTATTCCTTAAGTTACATGCAGAAGCACAAACCTTATGACCGAGTGTTCTAATTCGGATTTTCCACATTTTTCATTTCATTTTTATTGGTTTCGGCATCTCTAGCGTTTTGGAAGATTATATTTCAAACTCGAAGCTCCAATTCCATTGACTCGCCTCTTTTTCCTCACGTCACCGCATGCAATATCAGGAGGACCATTTGTCTTCTTAATATCTCTTGGGCAGGCATTATCAATCTTTACGTCATTGCACATCACGTGCAAAATTGAGCCGACAGAATGCTACCTCTTGAGAGGCCTTCGATAATCCGTCTGAGAATTTAAATCTCTTCGTCTCTCGCTGTTGAGAGAACCTGTCTGCATCCATACTAAGAATTTGCTAACGTATTTAAGCCATTGTCTACTGACGGTAACGTTGGCATGAAATCCTCTACATACGAAGTACATTAACAAGAGTTAATGTGTCACCAGACGCAGGGTTATATATCTCTGATTGCCTATCTGCCTAATGTTCAATGATTTCCAAAAGACTTTTATTATTTCTCACTCCAGGAAACTGATTACTAGATTTTTACTGGTGTCTTTATATCTGTTCGATATTGATTTAAGTTAATGAAGTTAGAAATATCCTTGTTTCTATCTTATTAATTACGTTATTGGCACAAATTCTGAATTCTTGTACGTGATTCATGTGTTGAAAATTTTGACCACTGAGCAAAAAAACTTTTCCTGAATTCAGACTGTAAATGATTAATAATTGGAATTTTATTCCAAAAAAATCCATGCGTTTTAGTTCCAACCACTTGTTTAAATTTACTTATCTTCTCTTAATTGAATTTCACAATATTTATTACTGTTGTTTAACACAGGTAAATCCATTTTTTTGCGTGGGATGAACTAAATGTGCTCACGATAAACTAAAATACATTCATGTGTTAATACTTTTAATCTAAATACTCCTAATATAACAGACGTGAAATGTCTCTAGCGCATAAGATTCAATCCACTAGACCCACCTCTGCCACTAGTCATAGTCACTAGTTTTAAGCACTTGTCATTTTATAAGATCGTGTTTCCGTTATCGCTTAATAAATTCTTCGTTTGCATAGAATTTCCCTGACGCTGTCGTGCCCCATGAACCTCGAGCTCTACCCCCTGGACACGCAGACGTGCGAGCTGCTCATGGCTTCATGTGAGTACATTTAAAATTATTTGTATTTAATGTTAATCCAGTAATTTTAATAATAACCTTTTGGCTTAAGTGTTACGAAAATTAATAGTTTTCGAGGTTTAGTAATTTAAATATTAACCTTTTGGCTAACATCTTACGTTACTGAGCTTCAGTAATTTTCATTTTAATAATTTGACTTACGAGTTAAAAAGATTTAATGTTATCAAGCATTACAAAGCATATTTATTGCCCACATTGCTAAGCGTGCTGCAATACCGCTTCTAGTTGAAAATGAAAATTAATGTGTTTTAATTAACGATAACTTAGATTCAACTCCATTTTTTGCCGTTGGTCTGGAATTTAGTTGATAAATATGGATATGATGAGATATTCCTCACCATAATCGTAGTCCATATTATGGCATTTCAAAATAATGATCTCCTTTTCCAATTTGATTTCTAACTGCATTGAAAATATCGTTATATCGTGACCACATTTTGCATGAATTTACGGTGCAAGTCTTGTAATTCATTACGCCTGCGGCGTACTTCACTGCAACACAAAATTGCAAGATAAATATCGTACTCAAAATTTATATTCACTATAACTTTTATCTGAATTATTCTCACTTTTTGTTACGAAGTCCTGGGCTTATTTTTCTGTAAAATATATAGGTTCTTAACGAACCATACTTTTAAAAAATTCGATGCCTAAATTTCGTTAATTAGTATCGATACTGCTTGGTTTATTACGCTCTTTTGATGGTTGTGCCATTAATTAGTGCCTGGTTTTGCTCTATGCTTGGACAGTGTTTAATTCATATGCGTAATTCCTCTCTTGTGAGAAACAATTCTTGTACAGGAAACAACCTCTAAAGAATTTTTACGTGTAATTTTTCAATATCCAATGAAACGAATCTTCCAAATATCGTCTATTCGCTGCTGTGCTACTGCGATCACAACACCTCAACAACTCGGTCGTGCGCAAGCGCTGTTTGCCAAGATATGCGTAACCAGAATATTTTCTTACTATTCCCAGCGAGGAAATGATGCTGTGCTTATTACTGTGAACCCCTAAGCAACGCTTTTAAGAATTCATAAATATTTTCAGATCAGTGTGCTGTCTTGTTTACTTCACATTCTTTCGCTTTCTGCGTAATTCATTTCTTCGGTATAACAATTTTCACAAAAGAAAAAACGTACAAGAAATATCCCTGAATTCCCTTCGCCCAAAGCATTTCCACAGAATTTTCCAAGAACGAGAGACAATTTTCGTCTCCGGTGCACCCAATATCTCCCCGGAAGATGCGGTAAGCAGTTCCGTCGAGCACCCAAGACGGAAAGCAATCCTAAGGACGAACTTGCTCGTATTCCCGACCCGAAAGGTGCGCGCAGAAAACACACTCTGGCATCGATTACATGGCATATCACTTACGTCCATCCATCACATCCGGCCGCGCAGGCCTAATGGAGAGCATCACAATAGACGAGACGTTCTCGACACCAAATCCTCCTCACAATAGATATTAGAGCGCTGTCGATATGGTGAGACATTTTCTTCCCTTCATGCGTAGCAGTTCTGGACTTAATTTCGTCTGGATGCTTCGCATGTTCTTATTCATAGATGGTGTGCACCGATTTGAAAAAAGTACCATGAACGGAAAATAAACTAGAAATTATGATGAAGCATAACAATGAATTAACGAATTTTAATTTGAATTAAAAAATATGATCTTTGACGGTAAAAATATCTGTACAATCTCATGACTTTAATACGAATGTTTTTAAACTGTAAAAAATTACGGCGTTCCACAAGTAGTGGGCATGCTCTTCGCCAAAATTTTCTAGTTCCTTGACTTAAGAGAATTTTTTTTCGAGCATTGTCTCCCGAATCTTTGAAGTAATAAATTTATTCCTGCTCCGATCGACAGCCATAACAAATCGCGAGTAATTTTTTTGAGTTTATTCATTATTCAAAACAATTTGTGATTTTTATGTCTTTCGGCAATAGCGCTAGCTTTTGTTTGGACGCGAAATTTCTCGCTCGCTGCTCTTCTGCTCAAAGCCCGCCTCTAGTCGACTGCTTCTCAATGCACTTATATCTAGATTTCGGAAAAACAGGATTCGCTGCTGTCTCACGAGACTATTTCTGATGCTTATTGAGAAAACAATGAGACCACCTTACATTAATTTCTAGAAGTTGTCTCTGGAGGCTCAGGCCGGGCATCATCTTCTCATGAATCACTGGTTTCGATGAACCCCTCTCGATTTTACAGTTCTTCTGAATCTGACTGATGACTGAATCTGACTAATGGCTCTAAATCTAACATGACTCTGAATCTGACTAATGACTCTAAATCTGACTGATACTCTGAATTTTACTAATGACTCCGAATCTGACTGATGACTCCGAATCTGACTGATGACTCCGAATCTGACTGATGACTCCGAATCTGACTGATGACTCTGAATCTGACTAATGGCTGAATATAAATGAAAAGACACGCGCAGCCTTACAAAACTTTGTCAATGTCATTTTGGCGTCCAAAACTGAATCATCGGTTAATTACAGTACATTGATGTCAACCTTCCGTTGATTACAGTGACTTTGAGTGACGGATTCCTAAATCTTGTCTTCCTGATCTCCTTCCTCCCTAGACCCAAGAATCTCGAGACCCTGTCTCTTGAGACCCTGTCTCTTGAGACCCTGTCTCTTGAGACCCTGTCTCTTGATACCCTGTCTCTTGATACCCTGTCTCTTGAGACCATGACTCATGAGACCCTGTCTCTTGAGACTCTGTCTCATGAGACCCTGTCTCTTGAGGCCCTGTCTCTTCAGACCCTGTCTCTTCAGACCCTGTCTCTTGAGACCCAGTCTCTTGAGACCCTGTCTCTTGAAACCCTGTCTCTTGAGACCCTGTCTCTTGAGACCCTGTCTCTTGAGACCCTGTCTCTTGAGACCCTGTCTCTTGATACCCTGTCTTTTGAGACCCTGTCTCTTGAGACCCTGTCTCTTCAGACCCTGTCTCTTCAGACCCTGTCTCTTGAGACCCTGTCTCTTGAGGCCCTGTCTCTTGAGACCCTGTCTCTTAAGACCGTGTTTGCTGGGCTACTTTCTTGTAATTACTGGCTTTTTAGGTCCCTCTTACTCTAGAAAGTTGTTTTTGGTGTAGCTCGAAACAATGGTTCTAAAAGATTTTCGCCACGTGAGACAGAAACTCTGCAATACTGACTCCTCTTTTGAGGATTAGAAGACCGGCCTTGAAACATGGGGAAGCAATCCTGACTGAAGGCTGGGCGGATTACCTCGAACTAATGAAGTGCAGGTCGCTGCTTCTGCTCGCGCTAATTGCGGCTAATGGCCTTAGCCGCTGGTGCTACTCCAGCAGATGCTGGCTATATAAACGTGGCTTATTTCTGCTATTGGTGTGTATGTTGTTTGTGGTGTGTATGTTGTTTGTGGTGTGTATGTTGTTTGGGGTGTGTATGTGGTTTGGGGTGTGTATGTTGTTTGGGGTGTGTATGTTGTTTGGGGTGTGTATGTTATTTGGGGTGTGTATGTTGTACAGTTAACTTCTCGGAAAATGTTTAGCCTCTATTTCAACTAGCGTCAGCATTGTGAAAAGCAAACTAACTTTCCTTCCAAGGTAGTTTTCATTGCCCTGGCATTAGTTTTTATTCAATTTGTAAATTCGTTATCGTAGTTGACGCTGAAAGCAATATCAGGGCTTTTTTACATTCAATCTATAATATGTTTGCTATGTTTTCATACATTTGCAAGAAAATAGGTTTACATATCATATTTAAATATTTAATTTGTGATGTTATCTTATATATTTTATATCTCATAAGGCTTTCGCCTTATAAACTTGCGCACTTTACTACCTTGTGCCCGTTGTGTTTGTTCAATTCAAATAATACATGAACGCCTTGAAAACTTACTGAAAATTATTTCCCATAGCAGCATTACCATGTTATCTTCTTAATCACATTTGATCTGCTACTTGTCTAATTTTTTTCACATGATATACTTTTTGCTATACTTATTCATTGAAATTTTCACATTTTTTAAGTAATTTGAATTAATGCTTTGTAATTCCTCAGTTTTTCTATAGATCACTTTTTCTGAACAAGATTTATCCCCAAGAATATCCCCCATGAAAGTAATGTAACAATTTCAATTCCATCATCTTTAGTATACATATAAATAAAATATGTAGAAACTTTCTGCTCTTTTTGTAGAATTAATCAAGCAAATTGCTGTACCCGCACCCGTAGGCGTACTTTAATCCACTGTTTTAATACAGCAAATTTTATCGCAAAAGTCGAAGCTCGTTTTACAAAGTTGACAGTTTCGCTGTAATATTTGTAGTACTTGCAATTGCGTCACTTTTTGCTGGATCTGATAGCGCTGTTTTGTATTGTATTGTTTTGTATTGTTGAGTGAAATAATAAATGAACAAATAAATATTGAGTGAATTATTTGTTTTAAATGTCATCTCATAGTTTTACATTAAACCAATTCAACTATATAGGTCATCAACGAGTAGCAGTTCAACGAACATCGTGTTGAAGTTGATAAAATTTAATTTTCTTTCACCATTCACGCCTTCCCCTGAACCATTTTTGATCCTTGTACTAGTGCGGTGAAACTTGCATTCACTTATGCCAAAGTTTTATTCTTTATTTTTAACTGATTTGGTCAAATAATTCCCTGCATGAACGCGATTCCTCGACATCCTGGTGTTATTACTTAAGTTCATCCCCGCTCCCTCCGCCAATGCCGCTTGTCTTTCACTTATAAATTGCACTGTCGTATAAATGAAGCACTTAAAATTCATTTGATTCTAATATTGATTGTAAAATATTTTGCGTGAAACCACTTTATTTATGAAATTCATCTCTTCCACCACAGTTTACAGAAGAGGAAAGTAAATAAAATTCTTTGAGTGAAGTCCGTAGATTATTTTCAATAATTTTTTTCGGTGACTTGATTCTGCATATAGCATTATTTCCACAATAATTTTCATGCATTGCAAGCCTGCCTGGGTTGTTATTAATTTTTTATTCCTATTTCAGACTAACATGATTGTTTTTTAAGCAAATCAGGCCTTAAATTTTGCATTGTACGCTTGCATAATATGACTCTAAGCTAAGATTTTCACTGATCTTTATTGCGACATTTACAACTCCGACTTCATTTCAGAGCAGATCCTGGGGGTTTGCAATCATACCGATGCGATATCTTGTCGAGCTACAATAATGAAACGGGACTTACCTAACCCGGTCTTACCTGACCCGATCTTACCTGATCGGACTTTGTCTGATCGGATCTTACCTGACAGTGGGTTTGTATTACATTTTTCCTGCTACAAAAAACCCTTTCAACAACTCTGCTCACCCCGATCCTCTGCTTGTAGGCCATTACTCCTTTCCAGCTCAGCCCATTCCCGCTCATGCCGTGGCAGTATCTCATGCGCGTGCATAAAACGCTGGCAAAATAATGGTCCGTATTGCCCATGTAATCACCGCGCCATTGCTCATAAAGCCAACAGCTCTCGTGAAGTGCGGGCACTTGTTTAGATTTGCGTTTGTGAGCGCCTTAACCTGATAGAAATAGCGCGCTCTCATTCATATGGGAAACTGCTCTGTCCAACCAAGTTTTTCTTTCTACTTAATTGATTGCTCGACTTAACAACTATCCGAATTGTTTTTATTTTTTCTATTTAAGACTGAACAGACTGTTATTAATTTTATATTCCTGTTTTAGACTAACCAGATTGTTTTAAAAAATTTTACCTCAATCACATTGTTGAGGCCACTGTTAGTTTTATCATAATGCTCGAGCAATTATGTTCTGATTATTGGCTCTAAAAAATTCATTGCAGTATTTCAATTGCCGAATATTGTAATTTTATTGCAACAGCGATGTTTGATATTTGAACATGTTATTGGTTACCTAATGATATAAATATGTGCTTCGAGACTACTTCATTTAGTTTATATTGAGATATCAGTGATTAAGAACTCGATATAATTCGTTCAAAATTCCAAAAAAATCTCCGTTTGCAAAAAAATTGTCAGCATCCAAAACTTACATATTCATCGTCTCAATTACCCTGATTTAGGACGTAACCATCGTGCTTAAATTGGATTCGAGGCTTCAGTTTTTGAAACCTGAAACTCCAAAATAAAAGCTTTCAATATTTATTAACATAAGTCTGAAACCACCAATTATTTTTGTCAATTTGAATGGCTTTTAAGATTGAATTATTGTGAAAATAAAAAATAGAGATAAAACGACAGTTCCAGGAACTGTTCTCATCATGGAATAAAACACTTTGATCTGTCACTAATTAAGCCCTCTATGAAACGATTGACTGGAATTATCAGTTCTTTGCGGAAGAATTTAGTGACTTTTTTCAACCTGCGTTGATTAACGGAACAATCAATCAGATCAATGAAATAAGTTGCAATTTTTAGGACCGTCTCTCGTTTTGAGGATTTTTTTAGTTCGCTTCTGCATTTAGATTACCCGGATCATGCGTGAATGAACTGATAATAATCTAAATTCTCTACATTTTATTGCAGTGTTTCAATCGCGCTCTAAAAATGCCGAGGTCTTTTTAGCGCATTTTCTCATTTATGGAAAAAATGCACTATTGTGCTCGCCATGTCCGTCTGTCTGTCTGTCTGTCCGTCCGTCTGTCCGTTCGTCTGTCCGTGACCTCAAGTTTTCGTCGACGAGAAAATGCGCTCTCTGTCACTCACTGCAGTGAGTACTGAGTTATATTTTTTCTGTGATTCAGATGAGTGGTATTCCTCTTCATAAACAATCCGGCTTCCGTACATTTTTTAAGTTGAATCTGAGGAAATTTTTGTACTTGAAAATAATATTTGATGCAAATTTGAACTGCTCTCGCTATTGATAACAGTTCTTATCATTTAATTCCGCTAGTATTTTTATTGTTTTTAATAGTTTTTATATTATCTTGTACAATGCTATTGTTTATTTAGGTTTGGTTTATGCTGTATATCCGTAAATATTTCCTCATAACCTTCCAATATTAAGTGTTCAATTCAACCAATTGATGAGAAAATTATCGTCATTGCCGTGTCTTTGATTATTTTAATTTGAACTTTTACTTCATGTAGTTTTTAAATTACCATTTTCGTTGTATTCCTCTTTACTATTCATTTGCTTGTTCCTGTAAAGCGTTTAATTTTCAAAATTATATTTCTTTTCAAATTTTCCTTTTGAACTTGAATAACTATTGGCTTTTTCTTGGGCAGCTTATAAATGAAAGCAAAATAAACGGTCGCTTCCTTATGAAAAGATTTACTGGTTAAGCGACGCCGATTTCTGTGTCAAAATTATATCCAAACTATGGTTGACCGACGAACGGCCAACAGTCCCCGTCGATGAGGCCCCTCTTATTTTTTAATGGGTGATTAGCCGCTTGCATTGGAGATTTGGAGTCTAATTACCAGAAGATCTCTGCACGAATCTCCAGCCTCAAGGAACTTAGTGTTCCTAATTACTCTGCAGTCCACTGAGATTATTCCCGTGCTATGAGAATTTCTTGTAATTAAATTACTTTGTCTACTTTTACAGTGCATTGAATTGCATCATTTGAATAGAGTTTTATATATAAACGCTCGTTGATTTATTTTTTTCGATTTTTTAGGATGACAGAGCGTTAATTAATGTAGTTGCACACATTTGATCTACTTAACAAGAAGCGTATTGTATCATTCATGAATTGTGGCCGTCAGTAATGGTGATGAATGAATTCTATTATATTTGAAAATGTTTTGTCTGTATTACATGATAGCGTATAATACGTCTGAAAATAGGCGATTACAAATAGTTTCAAAAGTAATTAATGACTTTGGTAAATAATTTTGCTGAGACTTGTGCGTGTCTAGAGGTTTCTTCTTCGTCACATAATGATTCTTATTGTTGTTATCTCTATTCAGCATTAATAATAAACAAATTTTCTGCTGAGATTTAGCTTGGCGCTCAAATGGAAGTGCGATTCCGTGTAGGAGACTGTACTTACTTGCCCATGTCAACGGAATTTAATTTCTTATTAATTACAGACGGGTGGACTACTGAGGACCTGGTGTTTAAATGGAAGAAGGATGACCCGGTACAGGTGACCGTACTTACTTGCCTATGTTAACTTAATCTAATTTCTTATTAATTACAGACGGGTGGACAACTGAGGACCTGGTGTTTAAATGGAAGAAGGATGACCCGGTACAGGTGACTGTACTCCACTTGCCCAGGTTTACCTTGGAAGCTCACAAGCCTGGCAGCTGCGACAGTAAAACTAACACAGGTGCGGTCTTATTACTGTTAAAGCGTTCTCAAGTTTTTCTCAAGATGTTGAATATTGTCTTATGAAAGTTTAATTTGTCGATGAACCATAATTCATTAACAAAGATATTACAGCTCAATTGGTATGTATTGCGCTCATAACTAGAGCTAGAATGTTCCTAATTACTTATCTGTTACTTAATAATGCAAATTGAAATGGTGAAATTTCAATTTAAAAGTTTCCCTTATTGCCGAATTGTGGAATATTTCACGTCCTTAATTCAGATGAGAATTGTTACAAGTGTTATGCAGCGTAATAATGGCGCTTATGCTACCCTCCAGACAAATTCTAGGGGAGAACTTTCTCATTCCACTTATTATTTAACGATACAACACTGAATGTCAACGATATGTTGACATTTAGTTGTCATGATTATGAAATACGTGTTTCCTTTCACCTTTCGTTTTTATGTTTCGAATTTTTCGCTTGAAATTTACTTCACGTTTCATATCAACTGTAAAATTTCCTGACCATTGCACGAACGTGTGGGTGTACCGTCCCTCCATCGTTATATTTCTGACGAATCTTGACCTTGTTCATTCCTTCTCTCCCTTGTCCCTGGAATTTTTTTATAGAATTTTTGTGTCGTGAAATTTACGCGACCGAAATGAAAAAAGTTATTATATTTTTCGAAAGATATATCTTGACCTTGTTCATTCCTTGTCTCTCTTATCCCTGGAATTTTTTATAGCATTTTAGTGTCTTGAAATTTACGCAACCAAAATGAAAAAATTCTTAGATTTTTCGAAATGTATATATATTCGAATAATAGTTTATCTTAGCTATTTCTTCGCCAAGCTGAAAAAGTTCTGCGTGAGTTAGATTTTGAAAAATTGATAGCAACAAACGCAATTAAGCGTATCGCGGTTAGGTCGTTATCTCGCCGTTAATCACGTAATCACCTCGCCATGACCTCCGCCATGACAGGACTTGCTGTTGGCAGGTCATTAATCTGGGTCCCGAGTTGTGCCCTTAGCAAACTTGGTATTAAGCAGGCCTCCTCAGCACTGCTGCTGTGGTCCTCAGCACTGCTGCTGTGCTCCTCAGCACTGCTGCTGTGCTCTTCAGCATTGCTGCTGCGCTCCTCAGCACTGCTGCTGTGCTCCTCAGCACTGCTGCTGTGCTCCTCAGCACTGCTGCACCTCTTATCTCCGTTGCGCTCCAGCAGTCATTTAGCAATGTTATGCGACGTAGCGATTCTGCGTCTTCGCATCACATGAATATTCTGCGTCTTCGCATCACATGAATATTCAGCGTCTTCGCATCACATGAATATTCTGCGTCTTCGCAACACATGAAAATTCTGCGTCTTCGCAACACACAATTAACATGCATCGATCGTCGATATCGCTGCAGCAGTTTATTTTTCAGAATAAAACGTATTCGGAAAATGAAATCAAAGCTTCTTCGGAGAATTGTGCAAGACAACAGCAGTTGCGAGACATTCAATTTTAGAAATCCAACTGCGTCTTGAGCGTTCACTAGCTATTGTAGTCATATCGTTTTCTGCAAAATTTATCATAAAACCTGGAACATAAAACCAACATCAAAACGGTAACGACTGACGCAACCGAAAATTTATAAATAAACTAAAATAACGTAAATTCCACACAATTTTGGTCGTTTCAGATTAAAATAGGATCTACGGAAGCATTCTGTCCCTCCAAATATTAATTCGATGGCAATCAATTATCCAATCGTTCGTTTAACTCTGCTTGGAAACAATTAAATGCTTCATGTAGTTGCCCTTGAATAAATTAACTCAGCAGTCTGCGGAAACAATTTTCATGCAACCCTTAACAACTTTTTTAATGCATAGGTTTTGTTTAGTGTCCCCATTGTAGTATTGAGTTGAACAAGTAAAAGCCCAAATTAGCTCTTATTTAACGCATTCAATATAGAGTTGAAAATGATGAAAGGATATTTTCTCGTTCAAATATAAACAACCTAAAAATCTTGTTATTAAATGCATATTAATTACTAATTCGTTATTGTTTACTTAGTTAACTGAAGACGTTATTACATTACCATTGTAGGGTATAAGCGTCAGGTTCTCAGTTGGCCAAAAAACTCACTTTATTTCGGGAGAATAAAGTCTCACTTATTCTTGTTTTATTCTTAATTATTATTATATTATTATTATTATTATTATTATTATATTAAGACTTAATACATCATCACTTGGATGATGTATTAACAACGCATGGGACCTCAGTCAAAATCCTGACAAAAAATAACCTAAAACAAAATTAATGAAAGATAATATTATTCAGATTACTAAAATAAATACAGACTAATACATACCGAACAATATGTACAAGACATCACTAAAATGTACTTATGTGCACTGAATAAATTACACAACGGAAAGAGCACTGATAAAATATGAAAAATAATACTACTCAAACCTACACATCCATCAAACATACACATCAAAAAGCCATCTCCGGATTTTTCCGGTATAATATCCTAAATACTAAATAAGGAGATACATAACAGATTAATGACGACCACTGTACAATGACTTTCGAGAAGCAGGCTGAGAAGCGAATTTTGAACTTGCAAATAAATTAATTTTATGAGTTCGAAATCAAAGTTATGAAATAGAATTCTCTTATTGAATTGTGATATTCCTATATTTGCTAATATGAGCAGTCTCAAAAACCCGTTCTTATTTCATGTCTATGCTCTGTTGCATGCAGCGTAATAAGGAAAACAATTCCAATGCTAAAATAACAGACGATATTTACATTTCTTTGTAAACCGTGGTGCTCTATTTCTGGGGTACGTTCTTCCCTTTGTAGAGCCAATAACATGAAATCTTTTGTCGCGCTCCAGCAAGGTCCTTAACGAGGCAACATTTACGTAAAAATACTTCATTTTTACTCTCTCGTTTGATGCAAAACCTCGATCAACATGAATTTTTTCATATATTGTTACTGAAATATTTCCAAAACATCTTTAAAAGGATCCCCGTCAAAATAAAATTTGCTGAGGAAAAATTGTATCTCAGTTTTAAATTATCTGAAACATTGAGCAATGGCTTTACGAACTTGTTCCACTTTACCCTACCAGTTTCGAACTTACATCAGATGATATACCTTTATTATCGTAATAAACTTGTTTTGTATGGAGTGTTCAATGGAAAAGTGTTTTGGTGTCATGCTGCTTTGATCCTGAATAGGTTGCAATTATACGAGAACGAGGCAGCAGTTGTTGTGAACCGATATTTTTACCTAATTAAATTTAGAAGCTTGTTTGTTGCAGTGCAGTATTGGCTTGAGGAGATATATATTAATGCAGCTTCATAAGATCTTGTTCGTAAAGAGATATTTTTTGCTATTCATATTTCAAATTTTAATATTAAATCTTCGGAATGTGTTTGAACTGGTGACCATTGCTTAGGGTGCTTCAATTTCACTGTTTTCGTGTATATTATTTTTTGTTTGAATTTTTTAATTCGTCTGTGGTTATTAGGAGTGACAGATTTTTATTTTTTCTCATATTCTGTCGTTTCAGTGTTTGAATATCAACTAATTTCCTGCCAATTGTTCCCCCTGAAACTCCGGATGCGTTCGCTTGGTTTGTTTCTCAGGGGAGTTGTGAGTTCTGTGGGAATTCTAACTGGAAAGCATAGGCCTCCTGATCGTACCATTGAGAAGCTCTCAGCCTACACAGGAAAACATTCAGTTTTATTCCCACTACGCTACACGGCAACTCATTCTTTTCTAATTCAACTTAAACTCTTTAACTTGAAGTAGTAACTAAAGTGCACCTGTAACGAATCATGATACTCGTCTTTATCCTTCAAGTTCTTTTTTAAAAATTAAGTTGTTCATTCGTTTTTTAGTTTCAGTCACTTCGTTATTTTCATTGACGTCTTCCTAAAAAGTTTGCATTTAGAGGTGTTCGTTTTGTTATCTCTGTTCCAAAGTTTATATGTTGTTAAAAAAGTCTGTCACCTTTACATCATTTATAAAATAAATCCATTTCAAAATCTTCGGTTACCTGACAGCAGCCAATGCTACTTCACCGTTAATTTTAATGTGGGTAAAGCCACTTTCTTCCAGAAATCCTGTAGTGCCTCGCGTTTCCTTGTCTCGGGCGGAATTCTTTAGCAACAAAGCCAGCGTCCAGTCTTTTTTTAATAGTGCCTCTTGACCCAAAGACTGCCTTCAAATATTGCGCCCCTTCGCCCGAAGATATCCTTTAAATATTGTGTTGTTAGAAAGAATTAGAAATATTTTGTACCCACAATATTCAAATATTGTGGTGCCCTTGGATTCAAAAACGGCCTTCAAATATTACGATGTCCTCTGCATCTAAAATGTCTCTCAAATGTTGTGCTCTTGGACGCAATGTATAGATGGATTTCAAATATTATGCCCATTGGAAATCCAAAAATGGGCTTCAATTATCAATATCCCTTCTATGACTTCCACGATACAGTGGCCTCTTCTTGGACTGTTGTACTGGAACTGCTGGAACGTTCCCTAGACACACTGATCATTCGTTCCATTTCTATTTTGAAGTTTTATTCTGATAAAAACCTAAACTTGATCCCGTGAAAGCAATTGAGGGGTGGATTTTAGTTGTAAAAATCTAGTAAAGAAATGTAGACATTGTGAAATGGTATTTTTTACTTTCACTTTTATTCTCCCTGCAATCTATGGTGATCGATCCATGATGGAGAATTCTGCTCCTTCATTTTTGCGCGACATTCTTTTCAGCAGATTGTCGCCTCAGTCTCCGTGCCGTCCTTCTCTGCCTTCGTTCTCTCCCGGTAGTAATTGCACCTCTTAAAAGTTCAGGAATTTTTTCGAAATTATGAAGATAAGCCTGCAAGAAGCTAAACATGTACAAGTATCCCAGCGGTTTCCTCATAAGACAACACTGGTTGTTCGGGAAAGGCTGCAAGAAATCTTGTTCAGTGGTAGCGACAGCTCCGTGGGTGGGGCTTGCGTTCCAGAAATTGATGAGAAATAAATTGGTTGGTTATCGTGTATTGGATCCGCGTAACGAAAATACCCATAAGAAAACGCGCCAGCAAGAAAGCAGGTTTTTTCGTTTTTTGTCTTCCCCGAAATTGTCAATAATGTAACCTTGTCAATGGCTATTTGTCGCGTACGCATTTCGGCGAGTATTTTCAGCATACTTGATGCATCTAAAACTCTAACCTAGCCTATGCTACCATGAATCTCCATAACAAATTCAGTTGCATTTTCTGTCGCTTGAGTCCCTGCAAGTCGCGATTCTTCAATACTATATTATTAAAAAATGAGAATGTATAAAAATTTTACTGACATTTGTTATGTCCGCTATATGGTCGAAGACACATGTCCGCAACGAACTAAAGTTTATATTTAGTTTGGTATTTAGTATTGTATTCAATGTGGATGTTTCCAAATTTTATTGACATTCATTATGTCCGCTATATGGTCGGTGACACATGTCCGCAACGAACTAAAGTTTGTATTTCGTTTTGGTATTTAGTATTGTATTCACTCTTTTTTAGCGCATTTTCTCATTTACGGAAAAAATGCACTATTGTGCTCGCCATGTCCGTCTGTCTGTCAGTTCGTCCGTGACCTCAAGTTTTCGTCGACGAGAAAATGCGCTCTCTGTCACTCACTGCGAGTACTGAGTTATATTTTTTTACTTTATTCAATCACCGAAATGGACCAGTGCATTGAGCAAGTCTCAAATATTGGCCATTTCTTATACGATTCAGCCAGTCTATTTCGCAGAAGTATTTCTGGCATCTGCGATGTTCTCCTTTAGTTGCTCAATCCGCATGTGGCGAAAGCTCCCTCAGCGCTCGTTACGATAAACGGTCTCTAAATAAAATATTCAAATAAGCCCACGAAGAGGCACAAGTTGCGATCTGCTCAGCCGCTTCCTCTGGGACCAAACTTCAGTGGCCTGGACACAACTTTGTTACTAATTGGGTTTAATGCTAGCCTCTGTTTTGTGCTCCTGAATACCGATAGTTTTTTTTCTCGCGACTTTTATCTTATTTACATTCATTTACTTCGGCTAAGTGAGGTAAATTATTCTAATTTATTATTTATTTTAAATTTAAATACTTGTTTTTTGACTTCTTGTATCATTTTTCATATTCCACGTGGTCCGAATAAACTAAGAATTTGAGCATGAATATTAATACTTGTAATGTTCGAATGTTCATGCCTATATATCATACCTGATAAAAAGGATATTCAAATTTGGTGCATATTTTTTATTAGCAATAGACAATATTTGTTTTAACCTTCTAAAAATAAATAATCAGCAAATACAAGTGAATAGCCTAAATTTCATTTGCTTTGAATATAATCTTACTAATTAATAATATATTAATCTTTTATATTGGTTTAAATTTATGTTCGCAGTTTTTTAACTGTCGGCGCTACGAAATAAATATCTCCAGTTCCGACGGAATTTTTTTTAATTAAGCCTCTTGCATGGATCCTCTGATTATTTTCTCAGAGTTTAACCAACACATTTTGCTTTTAGTAGAAAAAACAGAATTTTCTGTTAAATTTCACTGAGAATTGGCGGCTAATGCCCTGATACTGAAGGTGAAGAAGCCACTTGCATTATCTGGAATGTTCTCGAGTTTGGTTCTATGGAAATGACCTTTGTTCCCACGTGTTCGTTCTTCTCGACTCGCGTGCCTTGGAATGCTAATTGCCATGGAAGTCTTCCATGATGATCTTTTTGCCCGTGTAATTATAATGCAGCTCCATTATAGGCGGACCGTTTGTCGCAAGAACGCCGAACTTTTACAGGAGAATGCGATCGTCTTCTCGAGAGTTGGCTCCTTAAGTAGAGTTTGCTGTCGGTGATTCTTGCGCCATTGCGGATGTTGAGGCATTCTTCCTTTGCATTTCTGCATCAAGGGGACCTGTAATACTGACTTTCATTAGCGTATTTTATTTAAAGCTTCTTTCTAATTTCTTTCTGCTAGAAGCTATACGCATTGAAAACTGGTTCAATTGAGTATCTTTTTGTGAGACTTGTTTTATTATTGGTTTCTCAATGGATAATTGATATGTATAGAGTAGTCCTGTGATTCGGTGGCTTTTCAACTCGAACAGCAGTTCGTGAAACCAAACTTCAAATAGCGCTTACCTGAAAGATATTTTTAAGTATCTCAATAACGAGAAATCGCGTGGAGTATTTTAAATAATTACATTTTTTCGAATTTGGATGCACAATTTTTATTTTTGCTACCAAAGGCTGTCTGATTTTTGTTTCACTGAATAAACAATGGATTGCCACTGCCAATCTGCGCTTGTTTAGCAATCTACGTATCTAAGTATACTTTTTAAGCTTAATTGGCATCCATGCAATTAGATTTTCGTCCAACAAATGGTCTTCTTTCATCCCACAGTGGGAGAATTTTGAAGCTTACCATCTGCTTATGATAAATAAATGTCTTACATTCCCAAGACTTTTATGTCACCTATTAAATTCTCTGTCATGCTACACGTTCCTTTTGACAGAAAAAACTGAAGTTTATAAACCAAGCATGACCTCGGTGTTGACTGGGAGCGTTTGTAAGCGCCTAAACACGACTCATATCTCGCCTCCATTGCTCAATATCGCGACCTGATGGTCTGGTATCTAGTCTACGAAGTGTACATCAACCGCCGCCTTTATGAGACGGCATTGTCGTACGCACGAGTCTTTGACCTTCTTACAGTCCTGGCGTTTGCCGATATTGTTCCGAAATGAACGATACTGCGACCTTATGTCGAGCAGATGAACGACAGAAACTCCTTGGTCGGGCACAAGTTTTTATTGCTTCTGATGGTCAGATTTGGCTGGGTCTTTCCGAGCGACATTGCTTTGTTTCGTCGAACAGAACAGAAGTCGTCGTAAATCAGTGAGATGATTAGTTGGCTGCTTCTTCTGACGGTATTTGGCCTCCGAGGTACAAATCATGTGGATTATTGTTGATACTAATTGTTATTTATAGTAATATAATGCATCAATTAATGTATCCAGAATCTAGACAAAGTTATAATAGAGAATTGTAAAAGTGATGAACATTCCGCAGATCCATTTTCTTCGATGATATCGCATTTTCTCAAACCGAACGCAATTATTGACTTCAATTCGATACATTTGTATGTCATACACGTTTGATTATTTTTCATTTAGGTTTTGCACTAAAATGTTACCTGCAGTATTTTATTTCATTCCATTTATTGCTGTGCTTGTTGGTCACTGAACTCAATCCCTCGTCAGGCTCATACTCTTGCTTGCGCGTCGACCTGATCTTCAAGCGGGAGTTCTCGTACTACCTCATCCAGTACTACATCCCGTGCTGCATGCTGGTCATGGTGTCCTGGGTCAGCTTCTGGCTCGACCAACACGCTGTCCCTGCCAGGGTGTCGCTCGGGGTCACCACCCTGCTCACCATGAGCACTCAGAACGCAGGCATCAACCAATCCCTGCCACCCGTCTCGTATACCAAGGTAACCCAGTTTTTAGTTAACCCTTGCTGCCCGTAATTTTCTGAGGTAACCCTGTTTTTAGCTAACCCTTGCTGTCCGTTTTTTCTGAGGTAACACAATTTTTAGCTTACCCTGACCGCCCGTATCGTATTCTGAGGTAACTCTATTTTTAGCTTAATCTTACCGCCCGTATCGTATTCTGAGGTAACCCTGTTTTTAGCTTACCCTTTCCGCCCGTATCGTATTCCGAGGTAACCATATTTTAGTTTTTAGCTAACCTTTGCCGCCTGTATCAAGATGCATAGCATCTCATATAACAAGGTATACAGAGTTTTAGTTTTAACCTCGAGCAATCTGATTAGTTTTCGAGCGAATTTTTTTAGCGGAACGCCTACCACTTATCGTTTTAAGACCATCAAACGGTCGGTGTCGGGTTTCCAAAATAACCAGGTGAGAAATGCAAAGTTTTTCCGCTGTCGTCTTTTACCGAAGGGAGAATTTCCGCTGCACATAGCACCTAGTAAAATGAACATGTGCACCCCGACGGCGGTATTGAATTAAGCCGCCACCATCATACCTGTTGAACTCTCCTAGCATTTTAGAGATAATTCTTTTTTTTAATTTTATTGATTTTTATGAAACTTTCCGGCGCTACAGAGGTATTTACATATAAAAGCAATAACGATTGTTTCAATATTGCTAATGCCATTCTCCGCAAATAACAGCTAATCCAAAATTGTTTTAATTGGGAATATATTACATCACTGCAGGCTCGTTTTATCGTATTAATTTTTTTTGACTCGCAGCCCGGCTTAAATAAGTCGTTATCATTCGTATTTTTAGTTAATTTGAACGAACTCGTTTTTCGAACAAGCCTTTTATTAAAATCATTTACGGTCTCGATATTTCGTTGAGTTCAAGACTTTAACATTCATTTAAAAAATGATGATGCCCAACAGCAGTTACACATTATTTATTAATTCGTTCTTTTCTCACTAATTTATTACGAGAAACTTTCTCCGACAGAACATAACATCGCATGCAGTTATCATACCTAAAAACTTCGCTCCAGGTTGTTCTTCATTTTAAGGAAACGGCTTCATATTTAAAAGAGAGCGTTTTACTGCCCCGGTCGGTGTCGGGAACAATTTTGTTTGAAATTTTACTCTTCATTTTGGCTGTAAATATTATGTGTGCCAGTCTTGCCTGGATAATGTTTCAGCTGTGCATCTGGCGCCCGAAATGTCGAAATTCTTGCTAAAAATTTTGAACCGTAATTGGGGTTCTCTTTCCTGCTCAAAAATTTACAAACAACAATTAAAATATTTAGTAACTTGGGTGTTGATGATTCAATATTTTCGCATCTAGGCCTTGTGGTGGTGCCTATGTCTGTACTGAGCTAATTGTTTTAAATTAATAAGTAAGATGCATACAATGCGGGTGATGACTACCGCGTTTTTAGCGCATTTTCTCATTTATGGAAAAAATGCACTATTGTGCTCGCCATGTCCGTCTGTCTGTATGTCCGTCTGTCCGTCCGTCTGTCCGTGACCTCAAGTTTTCGTCGACGAGAAAATGCGCTCTCTGTCACTCACTGCAGTGAGTACTGAGTCATATTTTTTTAGTAATTTTGCTGTTACAATTTTGTTATCAGCCGTAGCGTTGCAAATTTGTGTGACGACTTCTGCGTTTGATTACTCTCATTTATTATTAAAAATAGCCACCGGCGATAATCTAAAGATTAACTCTTTGCTTCCTGACCTTCTATTCGTAATTGTCTCTTAATTAAATTATCTGTATTTTTTCGTGCTGTGCAAGAACGTTTCGCAATTTTTTCGTAAAATAATCAAAATTTCATGAAAACCTACATTCCACACGAGTGCCCGAACTCGAATCATGGCTGATATATGATGTCAAAGTTTCTATCTGTGCTCTATATATCAGGAGCAGTCGCTGGTGTGGCTCCGATATCCTCAATATCCGTCTAATTTCCTCGATGTTCCGCTCACCAATGCGATGTACGGATCACTTACAAGTCAGTTTCAGCTCGCAACGTGTTCTATATTCGCAGCTCTGGAGTCATACTTTTAAAACGTGCCTATAAGTGCTTGTAACGTCTTAAGTATACGTTGTGTCCTAAGTATATGCAGTGCCTAAGTACACGTAGCGGCCTGCGTACACATAGCGTCCTAGGTACACGTAGCTATCTAAGTCGCGATACGCGTGGTGGTCGATTTCTTATCTGTTATTGTGAATTTCCCTTGAAAAGCCGTTAGTGATTTCCTGACGGAATAATGAACTCTTAACTATTATTTAAAGTACAGCCCCTGTAGGTTTCTAAATTGTTTACAAACCAAAATCTCGAAATCCTCGACCATTTTTGTCTGGGGAACTTTATTCAGTCGTTGCTCAACGTGAACTTTATTTTGTCTTTGCTCGACAAACTGGATCCTTTTGCTCGAGATATCGGCTGGTATTCGATTTGCTGTGCTAAAGTCGGTACGCGGGAGAAAACTTTCTGAGAAGTTTACCTTTCCTGCTAGCCATACTTTTTTGCTTTTTAACCTGACAACCGTCCATACAACTCCAATCTGACAAATAAAAATAATAATAAATTTCGTCTTTGCCTGTGTGTATACATTTTGGCTGTATGTATAATATATTTTTGCTTTCGTGTTGGACAACCTCATTCTGATAAGGGAATCTCTTGTGATAAAACGCATTTTTCAATTTTTCATATATATGTCTATAAAAATGAGGGGAAATGTAATTTTTTCAAATGTTTTTAAAGTCTAATAATAGTTTTGTCATAGGCTGCAAAACGCTCGTTTCTGATTTCAAGTTTTTGAGGGCTATAAGCTATATTTGTTACACGCATGACGTCATCGGAATAACTTTAAATTGTTTTGCAGGAAATAGTTTCCTTTGCAGCAAAGTTCATGGTACGATTGGCAAGGACCTAAGAAACAATTTTTCCTGAACCTCACAATTAAATAATTTTATAAAGTTGACGTTTTATAAATGTTGCTGCTGCAATCTCGAATGACGAAATGGAAAATTTTATTTCTGTTAAAATCTTCCTTCATATCGTTCCTGGATTTTTCCGCTTGGGTGTTCAAAATGATAAAATTTCGGTATTATTGCTGTTCTACTCAAATCTGCACCTTTTTCATACCTCTCGAGTTCTAGTTTTGAACATCCGCTCTCTCCTGTATCATGTATAGTCATGAGAGCGTTTCATTCAGAGACCGTTGTAAATGTTCAATAATTCATAATATTTTACTGTTTATTCAATCTTTACTGTTTATAGTTTACTAATAGTTTGCTGTTTATCATGTTGACTTCAGGCTATCGATGTGTGGACGGGAGCTTGTCTAACATTTGTGTTCGGAGCTCTGCTGGAGTTCGCTCTTGTCAACTACGCATCTCGGTCGGACTTCCAGAGAGACCAACAACTGATGCGGCAACGCTGGGAAACGGACTCGCAGCTCACTCTCTTTGACATGCAGATGCAGCAGCAGCAACTTCAGCAGGTGCGTGTGTTTGAGCTTTGCGCTACCAAACATGCGACAAACGCTAGCCTTTGCAGCCCTAATAAATGCTGCGCCTTCTTACTGTCTTTGACATGCAGATGCAGCAGCAGCAACTTCAGCAGGTGCGTGTGTTTGAGCTTTGCGATACCAAACATGCGACAAACGCTGGCCTTTGTAGCCCTAATAAATGCTGCGCCTTCTTACTGTCTTTGACATGCAGATGCAGCAGCAGCAACTTCAGCAGGTGCGTGTGTTTGAGCTTTGCGATACCAAACACGCGACAAACGCTGGCCTTTGCAGCCCTAATTTATGCTGCGCCATCTTATTTACAAATGGACCGTCCATCTTGGATACATTAATACGAGTGATATAACTTGCAAATCCCAGCACATGTTGATGCCGTATTGCTAGAATATTCACCTCGAATTTCAGATAACAAAAGGAACGTGATCTGAAGTCGCAGATAATTTCAGAAATGTGTCGTGCTGTAAAGTATCACAAGTGTAGTTATATTACCTACGCTAATTATGAAAATAGGCGCAAAATTTCATAATGGATCATTTCAATTTTTTCAATAATTGTTTTTCCAAATTTGTTTCGTTTGAGGTGATGTAGAAATAATGTTGATAATTAGATAGGCCTACAAGTTGGATTGATGCAATTTTTACCAACCTAACATGAGGTAATATTGTTTACTTATTGATTACCGTTCTTTTTTAACTATGAATGCCGTTGCAGTTTTAAAATGACATTTTTTAGCAGTGTTTTTAAGTTCCATCTCAGCGCTCAGTTTACCTTTGATGCGACTGATAAAATATGAACTGACACTAAAAAGTTGAACGCTTTACATTCATATAGATTAAATTTAATACTGCCGATTTTCTGGGCTATCAAATACAGCTTCCATGAACTTCAATATGAATTAAAACTACATCACTCTTCGGCTATGTTATATCTAAATTTGCATTTGAGTTGAAACATCGTTTTATTATTTTGATAGCTAAATTTAATTTTTCCTGCTCTGAAGTTATGCTATTTCAAAAATACAAATTAAATTAACCTAGAAAGGTTGAGGTTTTCCGCCGCTCGTTTTTTTAGGGTATCACGGAAAAAGCCAGCCTTTTATTTTGGCGGGGATGCTAGAAATTGTTTTAAAAGGACGCTTGATTAAGCGGATTCCGTTTTGTGGTACCTCGGTGACTCAGACCACAGGTGCGCAGGGAAAGCTTCCTAGCTTTTCTTTGTGCCCATGGAGGCCTGCGAGGACTAGAGAAACTTTAGCAACTGTTAACTGCTTAGTTGGGTTCTTATTGAAGCTGTTGCGTTAGACTTTAATTGGATGAAATTCTGTTCATGCTTAGTTTGGAATGCTTGATTTTTTTTTCAATTTTTAACTGATCGCGTGTAGTTTTTTCGAGCGTATGAAGTTTTTTCCAATGAAGTTTTGTTTATTTCAATGACAATTTATGCATATTTCATTTTAATTTATCGGTGATGATTTTTTTATTTTGACCTAGTTTACCATTCATCCCCTTATGATGAATCTTATTTAATTTTAACGCATTCATTTTTCTTTGAACTCTGTATTTTTGTATGATTGCGTTCAGGTACCAACAGGATTGCCATCATAAAAAGCTGCATAAATTTCAACGCGCGGTCGTGTGATGTACGTGAATAACATGTCATGTTCTTATTTATTTATTTATTTCGTGCAATTTAATTCAAATGTGACAAAGGAGAGGGGGAACCAAGGAGAGATAGCTCTGTTATCAAATTTATTTCGTATATTTAGTTGCGAGTGACCGCTTCTAAACAAAAACCACGTTATCTTTACAAAATACTCCTGTAAGCTGATCCCTAATGGAGGATTATCAGTAATCATCAGCCTTTCAGTCAAGTGGGCCTGCCGCTGGAAAGTCTTTGAACGTATATGGTCTTTAAGAGATGTATAATTCATATACGCTAATTTGAGGTAAAACAGTTAACCCAATACGTATTTCCAGCAACGGGCGCGTTACATGGCTGGCTGTACTGGCAACGGCGACGCGCGTTATGCCGCTGCCTTCCACACCGTAGCTGCGTACCCCCAAGCAATCCCACCATTCCCCGGCAACCCAGGCTTCTCCCCTGGGGACACGACCCTGTTCCCCACGCTGGTCCCCCCACTGATCAACGGCCCAGGGTCTACTCTTCCCCCTGACGCCATTTCCAGCAACGGAGGATCCCTAAACAGAGGATCTTTCTCCCGCCGATCACAACTAGACCCTGTAGCATTCCTCGCAGGAGGATGCGGGATGAGTGCTTGCATGGCTCGCTTTTGCAACAGGAGCAAAAGAATCGACGTCATAGCGAGGATAACTTTTCCTGTTGCCTTCACTGTCTTTAATATTGCCTACTGGACGTGTTATCTCAAAGAGGCGCAGTTATAATCTAATATAATTAGAAATGTGGCAAAGATTTTTAATTAGAAATCATGCTCGCGAAATAATGTCACTCCTCAGTCTCATTTCAGTTTGAGATAGAATGTTGTATTATTGAATAGAAAGAACCCTTCACTACTTTATCCCCTAATTGTTGGTAAGCGAAAGATGCTGCTGGTTTATTGTGCAATAAAGTCGTATTGCTGAAACGAACGTTCGTTATCAAATTATATGTCGTAGTGAAGAATTGTTACCGTACTGAAGTTTCGTTATAGTTTAATGGAGACTTGATTCATCGCAAAGATTTTTAACCCTATTCACGGAACTGCATCTCCCATGAGCCGTATTTTCCATATGATCCATGTGCTCGTTCGTTACTCGTGTTTGTTTTATTTCTTCGTAATGAACTTTGATGTGCCAAACAAAGCCTCCACGTATCCAACCTGATGACGAAATTCGTCTTGTTATAATATTTATCTCATGGTTGCTCACACATCATGAATTATCTAATGGTAGCTCATACATCGTACATTATCTTCTGGTTGCTCATGCATCATGAATTTGACTGATGGTATCTCATTCATCATGATGTATTTCCTGACTTTGAATTTATGTGCATAAGCACATAAATGCCCGTACTGATATTCGTATAATGACTTAGAATATACTGATAAATTAACTAAGAATGTAAAAGCTGGGAAGCTCAGGACGGAAAAGTATGTCCATAAGGCCGAGAAAAAATTTCTCCTATGATATAGTTTTGACTGAGCTTCTCCGACAAAATATCAAGGTTATGTCGAATTTTGTGCTGTTAATTGTCTGTTTAACGTCTTCTTAAGCTAAGTTTAAGTGCGTAAGGTTTTATCTGGTCTCTCTTTCTCTCATTATTTAAGGTATTTATAATATGGACGCGGGCACCAAATAATATTAGACTTGGTGTGATGTCAAAAATAAATGTATCAGTTAAAGCTTATAATTGGACATTAGTTATAAGTTGCACCTAATTAAAAAGAACTGGCTAGGATAACCGACTAACTTAACCGATATATCAACTTTTATTTTCATGCCTGTTAATTGTTTGATCCTCTCAGCTATTCAATAGAATTTATTTTTCCGTGTTCATACAAATATTGTATACGATATTTACTCGGTTATATGAGAACATAACCTTTTCAGATGTTGCTACAAATATTAGATATTTATTTTTAAAACTCTTTTCATCAGTTTTGTAAGACAATCCCGGGAATTAAGTAGATATAATTTTCCCCATTATCTTCGCAAGCATTTAGAAGTTTGTATATTACTTTTTATCTGCGCTGGTTGTTCGTTGAAGTACTTATGCCGATTGATCGCTTTATTCGCGCTACTTATTTAAAATTACTGAAATTTCATGATGAACCCTCATGTTTCAACTAAATTATTTTGTTTTGATGTTTATTGGTAGTCAATTAATGCACTATTAAGATATAATGTTGAGCGGAATGTTTTCGATGTTTTCAATATAAAAAAGCGCTAATGGTCGTGGATAAAAATCGCTGTAACGAGCCTGTGTCATCTCAACTTATATATTTTTTCTGTTTCTCTGTAGCGATACTTTGAGTAATGATAATCCCATTGAGACCAGAAAGCAATCAAATTAAGCATCTCCGCGATCATAATTTTATTTTAATTTCTGTAACATTCAACCATTTTCTGCAGTGCGTCGTTTTGAGTTTAGAATCGTTTTTGTGCTAATTTTCATGCAATTATTCCTAACTTTTAAGTTTTACGAGCTAAATGACGTCTGGATTTGACAATCTAGACTGAAGTTCGGGTTGCAAAAAAAACTGGCTTTGAAGTTAGGATCATAAACGATGCACTAGATTATCTTTTGCTGTTGCCTGTGACAGTTTCTTTGAAAAAGTATGTCGGTCAGTATATTTTCCATGTTTCGCTGAAGAAATAACATCTCATGTTTCGCTGAAGAAATAGCAACTCAAATGCGAGAGATTTTCTCATCTCCGCTGAGAAACGCAATCTTTTTTACCTCATTTTTTGTCACCATGATTCCCATTATTTCCAATTAATATTAATCTTCCTCTTGATTGAAGAAATTCAGTTTGAGATTTTTCTTCGCGGTTGAGCCTCTTTTCTTTCTGTTTGCGTTTTATAAATTAAAAGTTTTCTATGATTTACTTGAAAATCTAATTTTGTAAATAAAGAAGAACGACCTGTTATATTGGCTGTATTTGCGTTAATCTGAATGTATTAGAATATTTAAAATTGTAACATTTTAGAAGTTTATTTATAGACCAGGAACAGATAGAACGGTTATAATTCTTGCCGTCATTTGTACGTTCTTTCACGAACCACGAATGACATGAAAATAGAACAATTTATCAACAAATTCTGTCATTAGAATTACTGAGCCGAACCTTTGACATGTAAGAAGTATTGTATACTATTTAACTGTTAATAATCTTGGATGTATAAATTTCATACTGAAGCCCCAAACTTGAGAAGCTGTTGTCAGTCGTGTGGATCGTGCTTACTTATCTCATTGCATTTTCTAATTACCCGCTGTAAATTCTATAGTAGATCATCTTAGAATTGTCTGACAATAATCGAGCTTAAATCATTTGCTTGCGGATCAACTATGGGAATCGAGTTTGATTGGGCAGTAATATACAACACATTTACTTGCTATTCAGTGGCTAAGTCTGCCTTTTAATGACAGCATTTTTCATGAGGTTATCCTGGGAATTTCCCTTGTTCTGGAGTAGTGAGTTTTAAATTCTAAAATAAGATTTTAATAAAAGCGCTGTGGCCAATTCTTCGAAACTGATTTCCGTACCTAAATAAATCGTGAATAATTTTACACTGAATGTTTTTTTTAGTTCAACATTGTCATGTAACAGCAGGTAAATTAAATATTTTCGAGATGATTCCTGGAACGTAGGAATTTCGGATCAATACAGTATCCCCCAATCTGCTGCGGATGTTGACCCGCTGAAAATCTTTAATAAGCACTAGAACATAACGAAGGCTATATTTCTTATAACTTATTCTCGAACATTACGTGATATTTGAAACCTTTATTCCTCTTCTAACTTCTTGAATGTTCTAGAAAATGTCATGGATCTGTTGAAACTACGTTTTTCTTCGACTTTCGAGAACACTATCCATGTATCTGCAAGAACTGGCCATTCTTTCTCAACCTTCTTGAACGTTCTAGAACATTCCATAGATGTGCAAAATTCCGCTGTACCTTTTGCCCGTCCGAGCAATGTTCCATACTTTTCTTTATTACCTAAAGATTCAACAAAATTCTTCGGGATCAGCGCAAGTCAGGTTTTGATCTTCAACCTCAACAATATACCTCGTCGAAAATAATCGCCAATTGAGTCTCTAATCTAGAAAACTCAACAGTTCGTCATCTACTGAATTATGCGTTAGAAATAACAATGACTGGATCTGAAACTAAGTTATTCAGTTCTCATGAATTCATCACGCAATTCTTTGCGCGTAATACAGGGTAAAAGATCATTCATTTGTTCTTTTATTAAAAACGTATAATTTGAATGTCGCTTCATAGTTTAATTCATCCTAAAGTTTTGCTGTATACGTTTGCCTAATTAGATGGTAGTTAAGGAAATCATTTAGAAAAATAGAAAACGGATTCATCCTGGAAAACTTAGAACAGTCAAGGCAATCCTAATTGATCACCGAAAACACAGTGCGAATCTTGAACAAATTAGCTCATAATAAATCACAAAGGAATAAGTTGCCGATTATTCAATGATGAAGGATTAGGAGTAATCAGTTCGACTCGATGGCCATGAAGTGTTCGTCGTCCACGGTGGTGTAGATGCTGCCGTCTGACGACAGCTCTTCCATCAGCCGACTGTGAAGAAAAAAAATATAATTTACATGAGAGCCCACACAAGATTTTTTAGGATTTCACATAACAATTGAGAAGCAGAATTACTATAAAAATTAAGTTCACATAAGAATTAGGACGAAAAATTAACAAAAGTCGATTCGACACCGTGACATCGTACAGTTGCATCAAAGCGTTCGCAAAGAAAATCACGACGCAGCAGAATTTAAAACTATACAAAAAAATGTAGCATTAATATTTCCAACTATGAAACAATACCAAATTTTACACATTGCCACAAAGCAATTAATTGCACTTTGTGATTTTAAATTACATTCACACATTAGAAACATAGTAATTGAGAAAATGCAAGATTTCTTAGTTTCGTGAGAGAAGAGAGGCAAATAAAATATATTGATGAATAGACCATCAATGACAGCCCCCCGAACTGGCATTATTAAATGCAATGGGAGTTCTAGCGTTGCAATGAAAGAAAGTTGGATAATATGATCCCATTAACTAATGATAATTTCGTGTTCAAGTGAAATTATATTTTTAATGTGATACATTCTACATTAAAAGAGTAAAATAAAATGCTCAATGATGTTAAAATATTAGATTTTGCAGAAGCAATAATCTAAACATAAATGTAACTCGCGATTACATTTAACAATAAATTTGTACTGATCAAATTCTTTGGGCATGAGTAGAAAATAAAAAATCTTACTCGACTTTGTCGCCGGTGAGCCTGCCCTGCAACGCAGATTTGATGGCCATCTTGCTCATGCCGATGTCAGAGTTTGCGCCCCTGGCAATAATGGAATACACGAGATCCTTGTCTGAGTTGCCGCTGCCTCCCGGCACCGATGGACCGCTCATGATAGACGAGTTGGCGAGAATTGGAACGTTACCGTTGCCCTGGAACATAGTTTTAGTTCAATGCAAAATCAGGGAAGAACGTAGGCACAGAAAAAAAGGGTACGTGGTTTGGATTTATAATCAAATGAACAGACAAGTGCAGTTTCCGTAAAATGCTAACATCAGTTAAAAAAACGCCGTTCAGTTTATATTACATGTTATTGTCTATAATAATTAAAGTTTAATTCAAGTAGTTCACGATCCAAATATGAAGACAACAATGAATGCCATTATAACGATAAAAAATATTACGATGCAGCTGTTACATTACTACTACCTTGCCAATGCTCTCGAACCAACAGTTGATATAGTCTGTATTGTTGATAAGATGCTATCACGTAGCAAAAAAATGTTAAATTTGCCTAAGCAACTGCCCAAATCTAAGCCCAAGTATTGAGTTAGACTAAAAATTAGTACAAAATAAATAGCATACAAGAATTTTTATCGCTAAACTCATTTTTACATTATCTACAAATAACCAATAAAATACAAAATTTGAATGATTAAATGAAACACAACAACTCACACCTACACTCTGAAAACATTCAAGTTAATGATTATTCATTATGGACCTCAAACAGGTAACCTGTATCAACACTATTCTTCTTAGATTACCACAACAATCCAATTCTTTTGAAACTATCCATAATTCATCACTAAAAGGTCAATTAATGAACAAAATGTGTGTGCTATTGACATGGAAAATTTTAGGTACCATGGAGCCATCTGCCAATTTCTTCAACTTGAGGTTCTGATGAATAACTTCTAAGATGTGAGTGGTAATCCAATTCGGGTCCTCAATTTGTTCAACACGGAAGCCGATGATGTGTCGCTTCTCCTGGTGGGATCTCACTGGACCGTAGACCTTGGCATACACACCCTCTGCTAGGGCCTCATTTGCATTTGTTTCTTCCTGTACAATAAAATATCAGGATAAAAAGATGATTGTCATTAAAATTGTTAAAAGGTGATAACCAAATGTTAAAAAGGTGATCGTGCAAATAAAAATCACAATGGTATTCACATCAAACAAACAAAATATACAAATGGAAAATATAATATAGGTTATTCAAATAATCTTGATATAGCTCATCGTATATAATGTATCCAAGTTCATGATTTTGAAGGATTCCAAACAATTGGTAAACCTACAGTGCGAATTAGATTTAGAGAAATTCTTATAGGTAGTAGACTCTTGTAGACTGTTAACACATATTTAATTCCTTTGCTAGTAAGTCACTCACGGCATCTCCATCAGGGTATCTGAGAACATCTATGAGGCCTGTGTGGTCGTGCAAGACGTAAGAGATCTTAGTGCTGCTGATGTCCACACTGCGGATGATTCCAACCAAGCACACCATGTTAATCTGTAAACAACACGACTTGTTTGCACTGCCAACAAGAATCACACAATGAATAGTAATATTTGATGAACGTAGGAACCAACATAACGTTTAACTGTAAATAGTGGAAGATATGTTGCTATCACAGTCATAAGTAAATATATGTAGATTCTATGTCACAGCACATCATAGTGATATCGGGGTTGTTTAATCTTTCTTCTAAAGATTGCCATTCAAGCCTGGAATTATCCTTGTTGTATGTCTTCAAACACTCCACTAAATTTTTGTCCTTTTCTCAAAGAGTGAAATCATAGTAACAATTAAAAGAAAATTATTTAAACTCCAACTATGACAAATTTATATCATCGGAAAAATATAACTTTCATTAACATCAATCAATTTGTTCATTTCAAAACCAACAAAACAAGGAAATTAACAGAAATTATGTGGCACTATGACTTTTAACTGGAATAAATTCCTGAACCTAATCGGACCTGATGCTCTACTTCAAATGGAACTAATATATATACGTAGAATCTATTAAGGATAATTAAATATTATTTAATAATATATACCTAAATAATTGATCAACTAACCTCCATCCCATCAACAGTAAACGTATCCTCTTGGCATTCCTGTATAGTCCTGATGGTGGTAGACAAGATGTTCTGTGTGCGACGCTCCTGCAACACAAATACTAAAATATAATCCTTGTCATGTGTAAGGATTTAGTCATTTATGTTACAAAATAGCAGGTATCCAGACATTACGGTAGTAACTGTATTGTGGACCGGAACTTACTAGGGACGAGTATTTTAGGTATTAAGGGTTGTTGACATTACGCTCCCATCCTTGTCGGAAGTCTCCTTCTGACCGATATAGTACCTATCTTATTCGTACATACTGAAAAAATACCGATTGCTGCTGCTGTAATAAAGTATTTTATGCGAGTGTGTGATCTATCTCCTATGGATGTGGAAAACCCAAGTGAATGTGGAAAACCTAAAGCTGATGTGGAAACCTAAGTGAAGTACTACAGAGTCAGTGTTTCCTGTTCCCTAACCTTCAGTTAGCTTATCGTTACCATGATGCGTTACCATGAGCAAATTCAGAAAATTTGTTGTTTGACATGTGATCATTTCACAACAAATTGTTAGCTGAAAGTAACTTGTTTCTTAAATGGTTAAAAATATATTGTAACGACTCCAGCATCACAGATGCCAGAGAAATATGTATAGAAGAGCTGGTACCTCAGATATGACCACCATGAATGAAGAAACATCTACTAGAATACCATTTGATCAGACATAAATACAAACATCGCCAGATATCACAGTACTCTCACAAGACCTGAAAAAGATACTCAAAATGGGAAACGATGACAACAACATCATGAGATCACCTCCCAATCACACTAAAAATACAAACTCACAATAAGGAAAGGAGAATAAGACAACAGAAGACCTACATTCATTTTAAGAAAGCAAAGTGGGATTGGTACAAAGAATATATTGACAGTATGCTAACAGTAGACGATGGAAGACCATATAATATAGAAGAAGCGACCAGAGAGAAAAGAACTAGCAATAAAGAAAGCAAGCAAGAAATTCATCCCGCAAGGAAATGTAAAATTAAAAAGAAATCCCTTACCGGAGTACATAAAGGAACAAATAAGAGAAAGAGACAACACTGGCGAGATTAGAGAAGAACCAGAAAGAGTAAAAGAGTTAAATAACATCAATGAAAACATCAAGAAGCGTAAAGAGGAAAATGGAAAACATTTGTTGCAGAAGACTGGCACCAAAGGAAAAACACAGATAAATACTAGAAAGTGGTGAAGGGAATTCAGGGTAAGACCGAAGAAAGAGTAACTAATACCATGATAAAATTGGGAACGAAGCTGAAAAAGACCAAGAAAGAAATCGCAGATTTTGCTAAGCTATACACGGGATCCGCAGAGAAGGTGAGCAGCAGACTCAAAAGAACGACTAACAGGAAGCTGGAGGAGATACTGAGAGAGGAGCTTGTAATAACTGGAGATGAGGTGAAGAAGGCAATAGCAAGATCAAAAAGCAAGAAATCAGAGGGCCCAGACTGAATAAGACCGGTACACGTAAAACACTTTGGACCAGTGGCCATAAAACACCTAACAAGGCTATTCAATGAAGTGGTCAACAGAAACAGCTTACCAAAACAATGGAAGTTAGCAAGAATAATAGCCATATCGAAGCCGGGAAAAGATCGTAACATCGGCAAGTCATACAGACCAATCTCGCTTCTGTCGCCAATTGTGAAGATCCTGGAAAGAGTTCTATTGAACAAAATTGAAAGGGGCATCCCCAATATCCAAAACCAACATGGATACACACAAAAGAATGTATTCAACAACATCAGCACTGCACAAAATAAACGATGTCATCTGTGCAGGTTTCAATGAAAAGGCAATTCCCAATCGAACGATAATGGTAGCCTTAGACATGAGTAGCACTTAAGACAGAATCAATTATGAAAGCATGATAGAAAAGCTACTGCTAACACCAATACCTAAACAGATTGTGAAGTTCCTATCAAACTATCTAAGAGAACGGAAAGGTTATGTGGACTACTACGGAAGCAAATCAAGATAAAGAACCTATCATGGGGGGTACCTCAAGGGGGAGTGCTGTCCCCAGTACTGTTTAACGTATACATGTCGGACCTACCAACACCGCAAAAAGGAGTGGGAATTGAAGTGGTGACCTATGCCGACGACATCAAGGTATTGGAAAGTCATAAAGATCTGCAGACGGCCAAATCCAACATCACTACATACCTTAACAGCCTTACAGATTGGATAGAGGACAACTACCTGTTACTTAACACAGAGAAAACTCAAACTCTGCACTGAGAATCGCCACAGGACACACACGTGATACCAATGCACAACATCTTCACAACAAAACAGCTGTCCTGCCCCTGAAGAACCAGGTGCAGATGACGGCCTCGCAACTGAGGGAAAAGAGTAAACTGGAAGAACACCCACTGAGAAGCCATATCCCAATCAGACCCAATAAATCTAAAGCCAATCAGACTCGTGAAAAATGAAAAAGACCATATACAACAATGAGTATAACATAAAAGTGTATGACTGCAACAACAACAACAGTGATAGCAGCATGGAGGTGAATAGAAACGTGAAGACATTGCATACCTGATACCACCACAGTCGAGAGATATATAGAGTCGAGAACACCCAACAAGATTCTTAACACGCCAGCACCTAAAGTAAAAGAAACAGAGAGGACTTTGGACCGAGGCATGAGGCGTACATTGGCGCAGTTAAGGCCGGGAAATGCCCAATGCTTAGGGAATACCTCAATAAGATCGATGAGGCTAATTACCCAACACCATCATGCCCTATGTGTCAGAACCACACCCACAAGAGTGACAAGACACAACATCTGTTTGGGTGTGAGGAAATTCCAACCAGCCTGCAGCCTGAAGGTCTATGGAATAAGCCAGTGGAAGTGTCGCAACTAATCAGAGTGTGGCAAGGCCGGCTCGGCGCTTCAGAGGGGGGTGGACCTGGGAGGCACTTAGTCCAGTGACGTCATGGTGATCATCATCATATTATAATGAGCACTCAATTCAAAACATATCTCATAATTCTTTCAGAGATAATTGTACCAACACATGGAATTTCAGTCATTTAGATTGATATCTTATTTAGATTGATTTCTGTAAAGGTTAAATTTTAATAATATGCGTTTAAAAATTACTTTTTAAAGACAACACTTTCAAAGAATCCAGTGTCTCCGATGTTACACATGTACAATGAATTTCTAATTTTATTATCAAATATATAAAAAAATAATTTTAAATTTTATTCTTAAAATTAAAAAGAAATTTAAATTTTCAAAATTATTTATTCTGTCAATTGATTCATGCATTGTCTTTGACTTTACGCAAGTGTGCAAAATTTCAGTTCAATTGGACAGGTTCAGATAAGAGATAAATATCAATTATAAGATATGTAGCAGACAATTATTTTTTCAATTTTTTAATATTAAAAATATAATTTTCTAAATCTTAAAAATTATTCATTTTTTCAATTGATTCATGCATTGTCTCCAACTTTACACAAGTGTGCAAAATTTCAGATCGATTGGAGAGGTAGAAGTGTGTTAAATATTGATTATAAGATTTGTAGCAGACAAACAAACAACAAGAAGTGAAGTTAAAGAGAAGTGTTGTAAAAACCAAACAAGATGGCCCAACCTCTTACAAATAAGTGTATTTATTTTAATACATGTCAACTGTAATGGCTTTTGACATGCTAATTTTGCAACTACCTACATAATTCCACTAGGTATGTATACAATTGTTTGATAAATACGGTAGGTAATATGATCAGAATGTATTAAATGTTAGAGTAATGTGCATTTCAATCAAAACTTAACTACATATCAAGTAAATTTAGGGATTTACTGTTCAGTTTATTTTGATCAAGGATAGTGAGTCAGCATAAAGTTTAACTTGGTTATCTCACACTGTAAATGAAAATTTAAAAGAAAAATGATAATAAAGTTTAATATATATACATCAAAACAAATATTTCATTTAAAAATTCATATCATACGAATAAGGTTTAGAGTGAAATTGGTTTATAAAGAATAATCCAAATACTAAAAGTTAGACTGATGAAGTACTATAAAAATAAAGTTAGTAGGTACATACACAATTGAAATTTATATATTTTTTTTCATTAGATCAATATATATTTGATTATATACATATTTTATTTATAATATGCATATTTATATATTATATAAGAAACATTCATACATAGACAAATGCCAAAGAGCTGCATTCTTGATTTTGAACTTCATAGTGAAAAGCATGATAATGAAAACTAAGATACATGGAAAATAATCAGAAGTGACTTATTCATGTCATAAATTTTCTCCAATTCTCAATAAATAGCCAGAAAAATGGCATTATGTGGGATTATACTTTATATATCTACTTATTTATGAATTATCTACAAGAAAATTTCTAATTCTCAAATATTGTACATTAATATAAAAAAGAACAATTCCTGGTAGAAATTCACCTTTTTAGCACCACCTGGAGTCCCAAACTGGGAGGTTGTGTTCATAAATCCGCCACCTCCACCAGCATCAGCCCCTCCATCAAAGTCTCCACCAAAGCCTGAAATAGTGAATTTGATCAATACAAATCATTTGCGATGATTTTAATTGAGGAATTCTAAACTCTATAGTATGTAACAAAAATTCACAGAAAGCAATTTCAAATTGCCTGTATAACTTGTGGAGATTTTGATGCAAAATTCCAACTGATTTTGCATCTTTCTTCAGTACACAGGTAGAATTAATAGCTTTGGAAGCACATTCAAAAATAATTTTCTTGACACAGTCAGCCTGTTTTTGATGTGCAAAGTGTGTTAAGGTTATATTGAGCTGTCAATGTTAGAAGAATACAACAAATTTGCAGGTGCTAAACGCTTGGTTCAATTTGACGGCTCTGTGAAGGTAAAACTTTTGTCCATGGATTTCAAATTAAATGACAATAAATTGATTGGGTAGGTAATCTATGGATCCCAATTATACATAGGAATTAAAATGTCCCAATTATTTCAAAAACTTTCCATGAATACATTTGTGAAAAATTTACTAATGTAGTCAATGGAGTGAGCATTCAAAATGATAAACTAGTTGAATTTAAAGTATTTAGCTATAAAAGTGGGATCATTAAAGGAGTGGTAAGAAAAAATTTGTTTCATTATTTAGAAGTCAAACATCAGAAAGTGTGCAAATGTTAATTAACTTGAACTGAATATATAGTAAACACTATTTAAAATGATCAATTAGTTCATTACAACTGCAAACAAAGATCACCAGATGATGCTTCTTGATTTGGCTCCTCTCGCCAATATTTGTGATTAAATTTACAGGTAATGTTTTTAGTGTAAAACACTTGACAACAGCATATTGAAATGCACTGATGCATTGCCACATTGGCAGCTGAAATTCACTATCCAAATATCACTTAGTTGCACATGTGCTTTCATTGCATTTGCATGGACCTGATTTTTCTCACTCAAATAGCCTCTGCAGTGTGCATCGTGTTGAACTCTTTTGGTGGCGGGATTTGTTATTACTTCATGAAGGTTAATTTGTAGCGTTCAATTTAGTCTTGGAGACAAATAGAGAGACAATTTAGTCTTGGTCGCTCAATTACTATTTATTATCAGGGTTGCACTGGGTACCTGCCTGGTTAGCTGCTCACCTACCCACCCAAGCTGGATTTCCAATGTAAAAAGCTGGTTAAAAAATCAAGAAAAAAGTGGGTTTTAAAGAAAACTTAAGAATGCATCAAAAATATCTCATGTTTGAATCTCAGCATTCAATAATACTGGATAGAAGCAACCAAAATTACATCTATACAGCCTTCCTGAACAAATTCAGTCCTCCCATACCCGGTATATGAAATTATGAATAGTGTGAGCCTCTAAAAAAATGCATAAATTAGAGTCCTTTAACATGCCCACCCGTTTTTAAGTTACCGAAATATTACTTGGTCCCCTAACTTGCTCTACAGTCATTCAAGACTTATCACAGTGACATCAAATTCAATAAGTGACCACCAGATACTGGTACGTTTTTAATATCAAATTCCATTCAGTAATTTTTTTCTAATTTCTAGCTGCTTATTAAATTTAATGTTAGCTTTATCTAAACTTTAGGTTAATATCAATTTAAATTCAAGTTTTAATTTAATTCACATACTTTATCAATGTGAAATCTAAAAAACCTACATTAGTCCTAGAAAAGATTATTTTTACGATATTTACATAGCTTTATAAAACTATTATATACCTAACAGTTGATATTAATTTTGTTAACCAACTCAAAAGTCCATAAAACATGCTGCTAGAAAAATTAGTCATCACTCATCAATAAAAGCCTACAGTACTGACTGTGGAATAAGGGAAGCTAAGTATATAGACTTTTGACTGTTTTGTCATTTAGCCACTCTATATTTTGGCTCCTTAACAGGACTGGCTCCTTCCTCTTAAAAGACTTGACAAAAGAAAGGCTGGTTATGAGTTATGACAAAAGAATATCAAACCCTCTAGGTAAGCATTTTTTGAAGCCATAATCAGAGAAAAGTTTTTATGAGAGGTTATTTCATTATTTTTTAAAATATATGTTTTTTTAGAACATGCAAGTTATTTTTTAATTTTGGATAATTTAGCTTCCTAGATAGAAAGATTTTACTATTTTTTAGAATACTAGAATTTTTGAGAACATGCGAGTTACCATAAAATGGGGTTACTTTGAACGGCGGGGTAACTTTGACCACTTTTCATTATTTAACAAAAACCCCCAAAACTCAAAAATGATTTGACATAGAAAAATTTTGTCAATGGCCATCAAAGGCCTAATACTGAGGCTACATAACACAATAGAAAGATTTAAAAAGTTTGCATATCTAATAGGTTAAAAAATTAAGAATGTGACCCACGAAAAAGAGCTATTATTTAAAGCCTGTTGGAGTACCCCCTCCAATTTTTTTTATTTTTTGGTTAAATAACTACAGGTTTTGATGCATTGTAGTAGAACTCTTCTAGTTACATATGCATATATATATATTTTTAAAATTGTCTTACGAAAAAATTATAGCACGCACAGACATGCGGTAAACTGCGTTAGACGCGCCTTTTCAGCAGCTACAAAATGAGTCAAGAAAACGGTAAAGCCAAAATTTCTGATTTTAGGGTAGCCGGTCCCCTTAATAGTAGTAAATATTATTTAAAAACCAGCATGATACATACATAATAAAAATTACAGAATAAAACTGTACGAAAGATTTCAGTGTAATGTTGTCAACCTCAGCCTGTTACTAGTGTCAACATGTTAGTTGTTACTTGTTAAGTTGTTACCAGTTACCACTTACAGGTTTTTTTTCACGTTTCAGTTTGCTTACAGTTATTTTTATGTTTCACCTTCCCTACATGGATGTCTACTTTAATCTACCAATCTCAAAAATAATCCACATATGTATACAAAAAAGACTAATTTTTATATGTATATGTGGATAATTTCTTAGATTGGTAGATTAAAGTTCACATCCATGTAGGGAAGGTAAAACATAAAAATAACTGTAACTTTTATTTACTGTATCTAACCCTGGGGTACCCCATACTAGTTCGGTTAGGTTAATTGCAATAAAGTTGCTTTGATATGTTTTAAAAATGCTTTATTATCATTAAATGTTAATGAGTAAATCCCAATAGCAGAACAATAAATATTTGGAGATTTCCAATAATTTTGGCCATTGTAGCGGCTAATGTAGCGCGCTACCTTTTTCTGTAGCGGTAGCGGTAGCGCCCGTTACAATCTAGTGGGTGTAGCGGTAGCGGTAGCGCCCGCTACATTTAGAGCATGTAGCGGTAGCGGTAGCGCCCGCTACATTTAGAGCATGTAGCGGTAGCGGTAGCGCCCGCTACATTTAGAGCATGTAGCGGTAGCGGTAGCGCCACTACATTTCCGAGTAGCTCTGCCCAGCTCTGCTCATACTGGACTAGGTACTGCCACTACTCCTACTCTACTAGTCATCAAAACATAAAATTTTGATTTGTGGAATTGAGGGGTTCCATTAATGATTGTTATATTATATATTAATGATTGTAACTGATGCGTTAGTTTGTGGCCTCGGCCCTTGAGTCCATTAGCCTTAGGCAATATTTATACAAAATAAATCAACGTGTAGGTAGCCCGTAGCCTAATCTCTCCTTCATTCAAGGTCATCATTGCACCACATTGTGAAGTATATATATACACGAATAAAATAGAATATTTATACAAAATTAATCAATGTGTATTGTGTAATCTCACCTTCATTATTGCCCCACATTGTGAAGTATATATACGAATAAAATTGAACAAAATTAGATGCCGAAGTTTCGGTTTCTCAAAAAGCGAACCTCGATCTTCAATTGTTAGCAGGTTCGGGTCGAACTCCAATCTTCCCGCTTCAGTCCAAGACGAAGAACGGAACAAGGAGCTGCAATATCTGAAAAACGGATGTAATAATAATAAGCAAATAAGTAAGGAATTCGGTTTGAAGCAACGAAAAACATTATTGAATTCCATATTCAATGTTTCAAATTGACATTTATTGTAACGCAATTAAAACTTTTTTAATTTTATTTAGTCTCTGCGGAATATTGATAAACAGTCAATAGAATTCTTTCATAGAATTAATGATTGAGTTCCAACCGCTACTAAGTAACGAATCCCATAAGCAATGCTTCAAATTATTGTGCTCTATTCAAGTTCACACTTTACCTTAGGTGGCGATGTTGCGGGTTTTATGCATGCAACATTTAAATCTTGCAATTTCTGGAATCGGTGGCGGACAGACATAACTTAGTGATGTCGACGCTGATGAGCGGACCTGATGTGGCCTGTCGCCGACTTGACCTATTCTTTGACAATGACACCCCTATATTTTTGTTGTGTGGTGCGAGAGGTTAGGCACGTTTGTCAGATCGAAACTATTGTGTAATGCCTCATGAGACGCAAATCATTGTGAGACAGCGCTTTTGCATAGCAACTGATGAATTATTTAAAAATAAATTTTTAAAAGGATTTTTTTCTTGTGGTATTTGATATGCTTCCTTTACTCAAAGATCATGAACTGCAGATCAAATCTACTCTCTTTCCTCTTAAGGTCATTTGTAGTTTTTGTTCATGTAAAATCCCGCAGATGAGGTGTAAATCGCGTTTAGAAATCTATAAATATTGTCGGCTAGAATTCTCGATATGGATGAGATATATAAAATTAGAAAGAGATATATTCAAATAAAAATTTAGTCACATTATTTATAGTCTTCCCTCGGCTCTTATTCTGAATAAATATCTACAGCTATTCACTATAATTAATGTAAGGATGCACCATAAACTACGCAAGGATTGTCAATTTTTATTGTGTTGTCAATTTGAATGAAAAAGGAACACTTAATATGTATAATGTAAATAAATTATTCATTCATAACTATTCAAGCCATCGCTAGTGCAGAATGCACGAGGATACACACAAGCAAATAACATCGTAAAGGCCAGACGTGAATGAAAAGAGTTCATACCAAACTTCTAATAAAATTAATGACAAAATTAACACGTGGTAAGAAGTTTTGTTACTTCTATTTAAAATTTAAAATGACTTGTTTTCAGAGTAGCGCTGATACATAAATAATGACCTGAAATTATGAATTATGTTGCAATATATATCTTGTAAAATATTCTTAACTTGAGACACGTGTATAGAAATTCTGGGCTACAGGAAAACCTGCTCTGACAAGTTGCAGGAAAATTTGTCCATATAGCTCAACACTGTGCAATATTTCATATAGCTCATCGCCATGTGAAATAAAAAGTCGATGGTTGCCAAAAAAGAATATGAGAGTTTGGTAGTATTATTCAGTAAAAACGAGCCAAAATTGCCTTGATAGAAAAAAGATTTTGAACTCTAGACTTGCAAGATGCGTAATGTGCAAGATTGAGGTTTCTCGTAAAAAAACATTTGCAATACGATTGTCCAAGTTGAGTTGCTAGAACATGCAAAGTATTTACAAATGGCCCGCTATATATTTAGCTTTTATTGATAGTAGGCATTTCATTATATTATTTCTTGGCACGTTGAAGAATCATTATATGGAACCGCGCGTCATTGTTCACTTGATAAAAATGATTGCCTTCGTGAGCCAACATTGCACTAATAAGCAGAAGTTTTCTCGTTCATTTCTGAAATAAAAATTCTGTGTGGAAGTGACTTGAAGTCATTGCGCTCAATGACACAAAATGCCATTCACTTCCAATGCGCAATTATTCGAAAGTTGAAGAACATCGTCGTTACATTACTTCGGCATTGAGCATCGTTCCGCGTCGATTCGTAATAGTGAACATAGTTTTTTTCGCACACTAATGGTCCCAGTCTCAGTTTGCATTTACGAAACATAAAAATTGTTCAATAGAGTACAGATAATCATGTATATATTGGCTAACAAATGCTTAGACACAGATCAGGGTATTTTTTTTCTCGACGAGGCCACTATACATAACCTCCGTAAGAGACCATCATTTCATGAGCTCTTCTTAATTATAATTAATCAGAGTTACATCCATAAATCTTATCGTCGCACTAAATTTATTAAACGCTTACGACCACCAGAAAACATATAGATAAAGAAGATTTCTTCGTTTATCCTCCAATGAGGTGGTATGCTGCAGATGATATGAATTTTTATTATGCATCGTTTAAATACAAATACAATATATTTCATATATATTGATTCGTTAGGCAAAAACATTTCGTAGTAAGAACATTGTTAGAAAATGTCGTAATAAGAAAGAAGACGACGGCAGTTTAACCGTACAAGGTTCAGAAAGTATTAGAAATGATATTTTGTTTGAAGGTCTCGTAACCTATTTTGCTATTTAATCAGGAGATACAAATACTATGGAAATGAGAATAGTTTCGGAAATCTATCACAAGCTATCCAACATTTTTTAATGCGTGGCAATTTTAATTTATTTACAGCGCGTATAGTTTTCGAAATTGATCTAGGGCGCATCCCTTACAAAAAGTTTGAAAATTAACAGACGCACGGTAATAAAACAGGGAACAACCATGGAGAGGCAACTTACGTCGTTTTATAAAAATTTAGGAAATTTCAGCCGTATGTAAATTACTGCTGCCCCACATGTGCTATCAGCGGTAGACCAAATTGGTGCCGCTTTCAGAAAGAATTATTCTGGAAAGGTGAAAGAGTTAAAATAAATGATCTATACTTCCCGCAAATTTTAAATTAGGTGAAACTATCGTAAAACTGCGAGTCAGATCAATCTCTGCAGGGTTTCATGCGAAGCGTCCTGGTGGCGTGGGTCTCAGGAGGCGGCGGAGACGAAGGAGTTGTGGAGGCGCTAGCGTCCTGTTGCCGTGGGTCTCAGGAGGCGGTGGAGACGAAGGAGTTGTGGGGAGAGTTAGCGTCCTGTTGGCGTGGGTCTCAGAAGGCGGCGGAGACGAAGGAGTTGTGGGGAGGGCTAGCGTCCTGTTACCGTGGGTCTCAGGAGGCAGCGGAGACGAAGGAGTTGTGGGGAGGGCTAGCGTCCTGTTGCCGTGGGTCTCAGGAGGCGGCGGAGACGAAGGAGTTGTGGGGAGGGCTAGCGTCCTGTTGACGTGGGTCTCAGGAGGCGGCGAAGACGAAGGAGTTGTGGGGAGGCCTAGCGTCCTGTTGGCGTGGGTCTCAGGAGACGGCGGAAACGAAGGAGTTGTGGGGAGGCCTAGCGTCCTGTTGACGTGGGTCTCAGGAGGCGGTGGAGACGAAAGAGTTGTGGGGAGGCCTAGCGTCCTGTTAGCGTGGGTCTCAGGAGGCGGCGGAGACGAAGGAGTTGTGGGGAGAGCTAGCGTCCTGTTGGCGTGGGTCTCAGGAGGCGGCGGAGACGAAGGAGTTGTGGGGAGTACACGTCAGGCTCTGCCCAACTGACGTGGCAGGGTCCTGGCCTGCATGAGAGCACACGTCATAACACGTTATTTTAATCTCATGGCAGGATGAAGATTAAATTAATTAACCAAAGTCAAAAGCGTGTATACAAATCATAATTTTATGAAATAAAATACACAATCAGAATGTTTTCAATTGTGAATACGTGTGTATACACAATCGGAATGTTATCAATTCAAGCTAATAATATTTTTAGAATTTAAAAATCTGCGACATAGCTGGTACTCGAGGCTGAAAACGGGATGTTAATTCCGAGTTGAGTAAAAAAAATTTAAAAATAATGCTTACTTTTAATTCCCTTGGCAGAGAAGCACTAAATTTGAAGCACCTTGTAGTGGCAATTCGGTAACCAAAATGATATGATCGAAATAATTATACTGTATGAAAAATAAAGTTACGGATTTATTCAATCCAGTGACGATGATTTCTGTCCGTATCCATACGCTCATGTATGCAATTTTCACAAATTCGTAGAAGGGACATCGATGACACTTTTTATCTGTGAGACTTGTAGGATCCTAGATCAGCGAACTGGCAGAACACGCCATAAGAGAAGCCATGTACTTTGCCTGTTCTCTCTTCGTATAGTAAATCTTCAGCAAGCATTTCTGTCCTATATCCTTGTCCAGGGAATCTTTGTAGAAAATGCAACCAAGAAAATGGATCAGAGAAGTTCCACTAAAACTTGATCTATCATTCTTTTTATTGATTCAGTATCGATACAATGAGCTTCGCCTCGGTACGTATGAGGATGTGATACCAGATGTGGCAGAGTTGATGTAAGATGATACCGCTGCTGATGCTCTGCCAGTTCTGCCGTAAATTGAATCTCCAGTTGATGCTATCGAGTCCCGAGTTGATGCATAAGAAATTATAGATGGTGATCGAAGAGACGAATCAGACGAAAATCTCGATCTTGATAAACTGTCAGAAGTTGACGAACTTATTCTTGACAAATGGTTTGAAGTTGGAGAGCTGATTCTTGACCGTGTGTCCGATGCTGGCGAATTTAATTTAGACAGACTGTCAGTAGTTGGGGAACTAATTCTTGACAAACTGTTTGGTATGGATGAACCAATGTTAGATAAATGATCGGAAATTGAAGGGCTCGTTCTCGCTAAAGTACTAGAAGGAGGAGAGTTCAATGTTCTGTCGGGCGACGAACACTTGCCGGAGGGTGAGGCGGTAGAATCGCCACCTCCAGAGATCCTATGTGGGTACAAATCAAAGCAAAATTTATTTCTTTAAGCACGAACCAAAATAATAATAATGACTAAAATGAATAAATCTCAGGTCAGGCATTAGTTGAAGGCAAAATATTAAGCGATTAAACGCCCCTACTACAGCGAATAGCTTCTCCAAAGGCAAAATTTCGATTATTATGACAATGGGATAATTTCCTTGGGTATGAAATATAACTTAACGTTCTATTATCATCAAATAAACTAGATTACTTTATGTGGGCTTTAAATCTTTAATATAAAGCAGTATTAAAAATATGGAATACATACAGCAACAACTAATTCAACGAAGATGTTTTCAAAAGCAGTTCTAAACCGTAAATAAATAGCAAGAAGCAGAAATTCGTTTTCTACAAGCAAAAAGAATGCACAAAATACTAGCATTCAAATGGCCAACAGTTGTAAGCTAATTAATACGAAAAACATACGAATTTCCTAAGCATTAATACTTAGCCACTGTATTTACTTACCCTGTGACGCAATAACAGCCGCAGTGTCTTGAAGCAGAGGCTATAATATACGGATATCTTCTAGCAACCATTGAAGCAACACAGGAAGACGACAAACACAAATCTAAACTTGGTTATTATAAATGCTGGAATGATTGTGCTTAGATTTATTGACTAGGACCTATACTTTCAAAAAAAGTTCATCGTAAGTTCATCGTGGAGATCGTAAGTTCATCAGCCAATCATTGACGTCATTGCAAGCAAAATCCACCAATCATAGACAAGAAAATACAGCGTTATAAGTACTTACGTTCACTTAGCGAGTTTTGAAAGTATGGCCCCAGGTTTAGAAAGCAGGATTAGTATAGATTTTAATGATGAATTTAGATCACATAGAGGATGGAGAAATTAAATTTAGATGTTGAATGAGTACAATAGTTACATATCAGAAATTAAAGAAAGGATACTTGATGGTTTGGAAATCTTTTATAATTTTAATGATGTTGTATACGTGACTGGAAATATATTTGGAAACTTAAGACGTTACATGGTTTTCAAGATTTTACGGAGGTTTGTCGAATTTGATGTTCAATGATTATAATTATTCGGCACTTGTAGACTACTTCTTGTCATGTGTAAATAATAACATTACTTTAAAGCGTCTTAGGACGAAGTGAAACCAAACTTAAATGATGAGCGTTCAAAAGAAAATAATTTGAAAAGTTCCCGCAAGCAGCATCAACTATATTAAACTTTTTCTCAGATCATTAACGTTCAAAATTCTCCTTACTTGACTGAACAAACGGAAACGTGGAAAGTGGTGTATTCTAATGGTGTGGCGTAAGAGGGACAGTGCAGAAGTGATTTCATATCAGGATGGCTACCGTAATTTTCGCTTTTCGACCAAAATCGATAGTTGAAGTCAACTTTAGTAAAAGTAGAATCGAAATCCGCAGCTCAAGATTTTCACTAAATTGAATTGTTCGCAGGAGCTTCTCTGTTATGAGAATAGTGATAACAATGTTCTTGATATTCTGCATAAGGCACCCCTTAGTACGACTGACTAAGTATTATGAATTTAACTTTTTTCAGACGAAAAATGAGAGATTTGAAGATTTGTACGTAGCGTTTGCGTGAGATTTTTTGGTCATTCCTCAGCTGGACTGAATACTAGCATGCATTTAAGTTTCTCCCACTGAACAATTGCAGACTGGAAAACATGTAAGTAGCGTCTATTAAATTGAGATTATTTTTCAGTGCTGAGAGAAAGAGGGTCGGGACAGCGTCCATTGGCTAGCAGCTCGGTTACAGCTAAAGCTGCTGCTGGTGTTGCTGAAGCTGTCGCTGAAGTTCGCCAAGTTTCCAACACTGGAAGCAGTTAACACATAACAAACAAAGGGCTTAGCATAAAAAAATTCAAGTGATTGGCAGCGACTCCTCTATCGCTAATGTAGGCTAATAAGAACATACTATTGTGTAAATGATCTGATATCGTAAGTTAAAATTTAAAAAGCTAATACTCAGGCATATTTAGATCGTAAATGAAGATTAGTATAACATGATTTAAAAGGTAACGGACGTAAATTTTTGCACTTTAATAGGCGTTTACTGTTAATGTTGATCGATAAAGGCTAAACACTGCTATGACACAAACGCCACTTGCTATCTCTTTCGCAAACGAAATTATGGAACATTGACTTTAGTTATTAAAATTGTCGTCTCCTTAGTGGTAATGGTAACATTTTTGCAATAATTAAACGAAGGAATAATTTTTAAATTCGTCAAGAAGTGCAAAATTTGGCGAAAGATGACAACAACTGCGGAGTTTGTAAGCAAAGACACCAAAAGAAAATTAAGCAATATACATTTTTAAGCAACATCAATAGAAGAACTAAATTACAGTAAAATGCTATACATTTGAATCAGTTTATAGCAGGGGCAACTCATGAAATTTAGGATGAAGAATGAGAATCATCTATAGAAACTTGATTGCTTTTATGCTTCATCAAATATTATTGTCTTTTTTCAATTTTGCACATTTGACTCCAATTACAGTTGAAATAATTTCATCTAGTAAATAGATAACAATAAACAATAAATAATCTATGCCATATTAATTACTAACGAAAGCTTTTTCAACAAAGAGACACTGAAAAACTATTGGCGGCAAAACAAACATTAAGGGACTAATGTAAGAGTTCTAATTGGATTTAATTTTTCAAGGGCTTTACTATTACTTTCACTTGAAAGTTTTTTAGCTTTACCAATGTAATTTTACGAACGTTAATTACACCTCAACCATCAGATAGAAGACGCTGGTAATTATAAAATATCAACCGAGTCACTGTAGCGCTTTCTGACACAGCGCCCTAATGCTCCGAGGACAACAAATATTTTGTGATCTTAAGTACAGAACTATTTCAACATTTATTTAACCTCCTATACTATTAAACATCATCGTAAAATCTCGTGGGTGAATATCGTCTTACTTGAGAAGTAGAAATTGACGTATAACTGTATAAGTAAATGTCCTAGTGAAACCGTGACCGAAGAAATGAATGAATTTAGAAAATTATTTTTACCTTGCGGTTGAGTATCGCCTGTTGACAGGCTGTAATAGGCGACGGAAGTCAGAAGGACGGTTGATGGCTGGATCCGCGACAGGGAGGTCCATGGTGCTCGTGCGCCGATACGACGGTCGCGGTAGAGTAGAAGAAGTCTCTTGAGGCAGTTCGCAGGTTCCAGTGGTAGTGGTTCTTCGATATACTGATGGGCGGGTAGAGGTAGAAGATGGTTCAGAAATTGAACTATAGTTGATATCTCCAGTCGTGGTGGTTCGGCGGTAGGGTCGGATGCTGGGTTCCCTGGAACTAGCCAGACGCGTCAGAGGAGTGAGTCTCCGACTGAGTTCATCTCTCGCCGAACTCACGACGGTTTCGTGAAGTGGATGACTCCATACAGCCTTAGGAGGAGATGTACTCCTCAGTCGAGATAACGTTGAGTCTGTGACCTCACTTCTATATCCTGCAAGCACCGACTCCGTCGAAGCTACTGCCGCTCGCCGGGAAATTGATGATTCTCTATCAGGAGCCTGATAGCTAGCAGCAGCCGCTCCAGCAGCGGCGCCTGCAGCAGCGGCTCTCGACACGCTGCTGCGTCCCATATCTCTAACCGAGGAGGAAAAACTAAAGTCATCCGAGGAGCTGACAAGTCTGGGATCGTAATCAGAGATTGGAAGGGAAGTAGTACGTGAAACACTACTTCTGCTGTTGCGTCTATGAAGGGAGTTTTCCCACTCGGGAATGGACGAGCCAATGGATGTGCGAGTGTAAGACATCGGTGACATCGCTCGGCTTGGACTCATAGACTCGCGTTGTTTCCTGTCGTCTTCCATAAGGCGGGCTTTGGCAGCAGCAAGCTGCTGGTCCTCAGCAAATTTTGTAAGAGGCTGTGATACTTTCGATCGCGCCCGCTTCCCGTCTTGGAAGCGCGAGTAGAAGCTCTTCCGAGTAATGCGGTCCATGACGCTTTCCTCTTCATCGTCGCTCAGTACTTGTAGCTCGTCAGGTGCTGAAGTTACGCTGTCGCTGCACCAGCTTGTGGGTGAGAAACAACGGGTGTCCTCGGAGGTACTTCTTATCGTATCTTTGATATCAGAACTCTTTCTCGGTTCTTCGCTTTGATGAGTGGGTAACTGTTGAGTTGGACAAGGAGTGGCGACGCACGGCTGAGACGGAGCCGAATTTTCTACATTTGTTGAGGTAATAGCAGCCGCGATTTCTCTGCTTGGAGGCGTAATTATTTTTGTAGAAGAAGTCTTAATCAGAGACGAAGCCCGCGTCGGCGCAGCCGATGACGTGTTTCTACGACTTGACAGAGCAGGCGAATATCCATAAGAGTTTAACGAGTTGGCTGCACTTGTTGTCACACTCGGGCGGTTTTGTTGTACGCCTATACCTCCTTTCATCGCCTCAGAGGTAGAGAGGTTGCTCATGGAACCAATTCTTGAGGTGATATCGCTCTCCAACTGAGTTAAGTGATCACAAATACTTTTCGTAACTGATTCAATTGTAAAATTGGGGTCATTCCCTGAATCTGTGCCAAGAATAGACTTCATTTCCTCGTCTGAATATTTATTCAGATTCTCATGGCTTTTTGAAATGATTTTTGAGCGATATCTTGAAGGCTTTTTCAGTTCTCTTTCGGACCTTGTCAAGTCAGGGGCACAAACGGGAGACATTTCGGACGGCGGTTTGGAGGGAACTGGTTGAATTGTTCGTGGAGCTTCGTCTGTTTTTCGACCTAAAAATTTATTGAGAGCGTCGGAAAGTTTCTTCGATGGCTTTTTTTCCGTCGGCTCATCAAAATCTGCAACACTTGAATGGGGAGGGCTTTTCTCACTTCGGTCATTCTTACTTTTCATAAAAATAGAAGGCCTTTTTAACTTGAATTTTTCATCTGCGTTTTCGTGTGGGTCAGATGGGTCTTCAGCAACATTAGTGGCCGATTTACTGAACTTTGACGTGAATTTCTTGTACATAGATTTTGGTTTTTCTGGTTCAACGGGAATAACTTTTTTACCGATATCGTTTTCTTTGCCAGGTGCCATTTCTCGACCGGTATACCAATCACCAGAATTTATCTCATTCTGCAACATATTTTTGGTGGCTATGTCTATATTATTTTCATTTTGATTGATTTTGTTGGGCATTACATCGACAAAAAATGTAGGAGATTTGGCTCGATCAATTTTCCTCTCGATTTTGCTCTTGGCTCGTTCGAAAGGAGTTTTGGCACGAGGCACGGCGCTACTATTCGAAATTACGCATGAAGCAGAATCAGTGTCGACCGTTGGTGGAGGTTCGTTGGGAGTAACTATTGGAGAATTTCTATTAGACGGAGGATCAGATGAAACGGGACTTGCAAGGCCCGATGCAAATTCTACCGGGGAGTTTGAACAAACAGACACTCCAGGACTCAAAGGCCGTTCATTCTGGGAAGAATTGTTGCACGATTCTTGAGTATTCATAGAAGATGGTAAATTTTCTGATATTTTTCTTGGTTGAGTTTCTGGATTCATCGCCTGTTTGACGGCCGGTTGTGGCGGAGGTGAAGACAGCCGTGCTATCGAAGTTGGGGACTGAGGGAGGCCTGGAGGAGGGGGTGAAGTCAGCCTGGCTCTAGTTTCACCCGATGAGAGGTTCAATTTAGAACCGATCTGGGGCTGCAGCTGCGCCTTTTGAAGTTGTTCAATTGTGGCCCCAAGTTCTTTTGACTTGTTGCGCCGATAAGCTTCAAATGGCGATATCTTTTTCAAATTACTTGGGTTCGGCTGCATTATTTTTTCGCTGGCAGCCTCGATGGTAGGGTTTAGTTCTCTAGAGCGACTTCCACGGTAGGGTCTGATGGTTGGTTGGTCAGGAATCGAAGATGCAGCAGCAGCGGCCTTCTTGTACCTTTCAAAAGACGAATCAGTTTTAACTGTATCGATCACCGAACGTAAATCTTCAGATTTTCCACGTCGGTACGGCGTCAGTAAACTTTTCTGTCGTGTCAACGCAGGGACTGTCAGTTCAGTGGAAGTCCTCGAGTTTTCCGTATTATCCCACGGAAATAATTTCTTATGCGGCTCGACCAAAAGCGACGTCCTCTTGCTTCGCACAGATGACGAGGAATCCGATGGCTTTAGCAGACTCGACGATTTAGGAGTATCGATTAAGCTAATGTTAGAAGAACTGACGCTTATTCCAATATTTGTTGATACGGGCAAACTCAAAGACCCAGAGACGGCTTGCTTTTGAGGTGTGATAGAACTAGTCGCGTTTTGGCTTGATGAAGTTTCAAATCCCACGGAATAGCGATTAATTATATTAGTATTCAACACGGAAGACGCTGCGCCAGGAGGAAGAGATTGAGTCATCACATCATTGGAATCTAATTCCATAACAGTGATCGGGATTTCCGATCTTGATTTGTTAGCAGTCGTCAAGTTGTTCATCGACTCCCTGTGGCCATTACCGAGGATATTTCGATTCGACATTTGACTATCCATTTCAGGTCGAGTTTCACGCTTTTCATCTGAAGATTGCGCTATCGAACACGTCGTCCGTCTAACTTCGTTTCCATCAGAGTTAATTTTCGTCACAGGTTCTGGTAAATTAAATTTTGAACCAGTTTTACTGGCCGACTCTGATTTCAAAATTGGCTTATGAACGAGGTCTTTGGTTTCATTTTCTGAAGTATGGTTAACCGCAGTTGCCGTAGGAGGAATGGAAGTCGATTTAACGCTCGAGCTACAAAACACCACTGAAGAACTGTTGGTGGGAGTTGGCTGAACTGTTCCAGCCCTCTTGACAAGCGGAGGAGTTGTAGAATCAGAGGCTTCATTAGCACCTTCAAGCTCTTCTACGAGTTTTTGAAGTTGCTTCTTAGCTTCTCCCGGCACACCCATCGTTGCTGACGACGATCGTTTAGGTACGGTTATAGATGAGCTACTAACAGCATAGGGAACATTCTTGGCTGACGAGAACGAAGAAGATACCGAGCTACCCATTAGTTTCGCAATGGGTTTACTAAGATCGACCGAAGGCTGTTTGATACGTGGGTCGCGAGCACCCACAATAGTCCTTGAGGAAGCCAACTGAGCAGCCGGTAGAGGCTGCTCAGTAATCCCACCAACCCGCCCATTGGCTTCCCCCGAATAGTCCAGACCTTCATCTCTTCTGCCTGCGTTTCCTAGAATTGTTCGACTAGCCTCACTTGCAGTCCCTTCCCCAACCCGTGACGTGACTCCAGAGCGCTGAGGCAATGTTCCGTCTGATGATCGAGCAGATCGTCTTGTTCCTGTTTCGTCTGATGACAGACGAGCTCTCCAACCTGGCAGTGAGCACGAAATCAGAGATGACAATCACCGCAGTCATACAGTAAAAATACCTATTGACTAAAAGCACTTCATCTGAGTTATTCTATAATTTCAAGCTAATAGTTAATTCAAGATTTTACAATCATGATATAGCAGAAATCGTTGTACCAAAGTGTCTCGATATAAATAATCTACTGTGCATTTATCACGGTAAATGCTGACCTGTATTCTCAAACCAAAGCTACCCACCTAATTTTCCACAGGATAAAGCAGCAGAAACATGAATGTGCCTGATTTGTTTCTTTTAAAACAAATTATGCTGGTTTCACTCACCTTGTGAACCGCTTATGGAGGGAGTTTGGCAGTGAAGAATTTGTTGGTTGTTACAGCACACGGAACTTGTTATCTACAATTTACCACACATCAAGAAAACGAAAAAAAATCCAGAATAACTTGGATGTTATTAATAAAAGTTCTAACAAGTGAACAAAAATTGTTTCTCACGCTCAGATTTCAGTTTCTAGATGAATATAAAACAGTTTCAGCGAATAAATTAAAAAAATGTCATTCAAGTTTGAATAGAAGATATTTTCATTTTGAGTGTATAAAAATAGTTAATTTTTAAATTAGGAAAGATAAACCCAAACATTATCTCTTAAACGGGCAAAAACTCTCTCGGGAGGGATTAAACGTGACTAACTGTAACATAACATCAATAGTACGTTGATAAGGAACGCATTAATAATTTAAGACAAATAATGACAAATAAGACGAGCACAGCCCAGCATTTTTCAGATGTACGTATTTTCACACTCACAAACGTAAGTTATACAGTCTACATGCAAAATTTTATTCCGTGTGAGAGTTAGATTCTATAGCCACACGATTTTTTATCATAAGCTTTAAATAAATAAATCTATAGTTATTTACGAAGATTAATTACAGTTCAGAATCTAGCTAATGAGTTCTACTTGTTGAACGAGTAAGTTAAATTAAAATCAAAAGGAAACAGAAAACGTCATGCAACATCGAGGAAAATTTTATTAGTTTCACATACGTAAATATTTATAAAAAAAAGTTTCTGCATAGTACATGGTATGAAATATTTTCAAGTAGAAGGGGATTCAAAAATGTTTATTTTTAATAACATTGCTACATGACAAGCTTTCAGGTCTTATCATAAAATAACAAAAATTTTAACGCAAGGATTTTCTCTTCCGTTTCTTTTCCATAACCCAAAAAAATTTTGTCTAACGAAATTTAAAATATCTAAGTATAGTTTATTTAATTTTTTCAAACAACTAATATTACTTACAAAAGTTCGAGCAGCAGCATATCGCTCATAAAGATTAAAACGAATGACTATGTCTCGTTAAAAATTCGAATAATACATTTAACAAGACGTCTCATTTCCGCTCGTTTTGGCACTTTCAGCGCATCACAGCTATGACCGTCTAGCATGGCACTTCATTCACATGTAAAAAAAATATAACTCAGTACTCACTGCAGTGAGTAACAGAGAGCGCATTTTCTCGTCGACGAAAACTTGAGGTCACGGACGGACGGACAGACGGACATGGCGAGCACAATAGTGCATTTTTTCCATGAATGTAAAAATGCGCTAAAAATGTGTACATTAGACATCATAACACAACTGAAATAATAATTCCAAACTAATAAAAGTGAACTCATCGACCTCATACACATTTATTCTTGTGTGATGAAGAAATTATAACATTTGCAGAGATTGGGGTCTTCACACACATATATACATTTGAGACTGGACGATATATTCAAACTTGTTCACGAGTTAATGAGAAGTATTAATTGGATAGTAGAGAATGTGGTTTTTAAAAACCCACAAGAATGGCAAACCGAAGTTAAAATTTAACTCAGTGAAAATATTGTAATTTTACCGTATTCAGGCTGCAAGGTTGTTATTATCGAACAAATTCGTGTCCAGGGTAAAAAAATTCATGAGTTTCAGCAAGCAAGCATAAATTCAGTTGTTTGCACAAATAAGTGCACTTTTCTGCACATCTTGTGAGACACGCAATTTAAATGAATTTAGGCATCTTAAACAAAAGCACTTGAGCTACTGTAGAATCTGTTTCGTTACTTATAAAAATTGAGGCAATATTTGCATTTAAATAAGTTTTCGTACGAAATTGAGATAGAGAATCTTTAAATATTTTAAAAAGGAGAGCCTAAAGTTTGACAAACAGTTAAGTGGTTGCGAGGTTTTAACAATCATTTTTAGTTGACAGTTCGTCGAGGCAGATGTTATTGCACGAAAGCCATTTAAAATATAATTTTCAACAATTAAAAATAACGCAATTCGAACGCAATCTCTTGATTATCTTCAAAACAATGGCACTAATGAAATGACATACTGTAGACAGTGACCGAGCAATGAATTGGTATATATGCTAATTTCGATAGCATACCATTCAGAGGAAACATTGATACCAAGTCATGTGACAACACAACTGACATTGTATGCCATTAACCAAGCACATTAAATACGATCCTACAACATCGAATTGATGTTAACTAACATCAAATATTGTCGTGGAGTCACCCGTTGCATATTGTATTTGCTTTGAGCGGAGAAAGGCTATTGTAAATAAGCTACGAACAAACAAGCCCAGGCCAAAAAATCACGTGCAACGCAACAACGAGGTTTGCAACGCTTATCGTGAATAATAATATATTTATGCCAACGTATATGAGCTGGTTTTCCATCGAGACTGATGAATTAGAATTATTACGTGAAAAAAACGCGTGAAAATTTTAAATATTACAGGCAAGTAATGGCTGACATAGTTATTGTTGGCACAAAAAGTAACAGATATGTACTGTAAATCATGTATCGAAAAATTTACAGACTGTAACTTATATTATTTACTTATTGTTATTTACTTCAACGCATTACCATGAAGAAAATCTTCGGTGAACGACCTTCGGCCATCCATCATCGCCACCATTAAACGTCAATATTAATAATAAATGTTCTTTCCCTTCATAATGGTATCAATAGAGCCTCTCTTAATATACTCTAATGGCCACATAATAGGCTGGCATCACTGACAAATTGTCAACAATATCCTAAATATCGTATAAATTCCAGTTTCATAGTTATAAACTATAAAGAAATTTCCCGCGTTTGCGGATCTTCCCATCTTACACTCCTATAAAATACATATCAATTAAGATTTCCTTATTTCACACAATTAACTAGAAGTTCACTTCACAAGTATCAACATTTAATTCACTATCATCTTGTATTTACAGCAGGCCACGAGATCGCCAGGTTGTTTAAGTTATCAAGACATAAAAATCATCATTTACAATTTCTGGGCGGTCGTCAGTCAATGTTTCTGGTCTGATGAAATGTTTATATAATTATTCTTCTGGTTGGTAATTCAGTACAAACTATATTAAATGAAGGCTGTGTAACCTATTCTTCTGGTTGGCAATTCAATATTTCAACATTTTTCGTTGAAGCAACATTTACTTTTTCAACATTTTACGTTGAGGAGAAAAGAATAATTACATAAGTATTTTTATGTAATAATTTTGATTGCTTTCAACCATGCACTCCGATATCATTGCAAACTTATATGCGATTAAAAATTGCCTCACTCGTCGCTCCCATTGACCGAGGGTAAAATCTATCAGAACAATTATCTTTCAAGCTGTCGGGACCATAGACTTAAAAGCAGTCGGAACCTCAGACTTAAAAGCTGTCGGGACCATTAACTTGAAAGCTGTCGGGACCATAACTTAAAAGCTGTCGTGACCATAACTTGAAAGCTGTCGTGACCATAACTTGAAAGCTGTCGTGACCATAACTTGAAAGCTGTCGGGACCATTAACTTGAAAGCTGTCGGGACCATTGACTTAAAAACTGTCGGAACCATTAACTTAAAAGCTATCGTGACCATAACTTAAAAGCTGTCGTGACCATAAACTTGAAAGCTGTCGGGACCATTGGCTTAAAAACTGTCGGAACCATTAACTTAAAAGCTATCGTGACCATTACTTAAAAGCTGTCGTGACCATAGACTTAAAAGCTATCGTGACCATAGACTTGAAAGCTGTCGGAACCATTAACTTTAAAGCTATCGGCACCATAGACTTAAATGCCGTCGCAACCATACACTTTGATCATATTGACGAGCGTGTCATCTTCATACCACAGCTGTTGCATGCATACGGTAAACATCATATCAACTGCGTCAATGCGATGACACATTTGAAAATTTCAGGGAAAATCTCAAACAGTGTCACTTTTGAAAATACGGGATTAACCAACTCCCCGATGAACAAAATCATCCATAGTGCTTGAGTTGCTATATATGCTTGGGTTTCAATTTCGGGGTCGCGAATCACAAACTGAAGTTATTTCGTACTGTTCCTGCGATCGGTAGTTTGAAGCGAGGACATCACTGTTCTTCGTCCGATGCTAGCGTCGTTATGGCTATGTTGCGCACTGTTAGGAGAAATGGATATAACATATTCACGCTACACACAGTTATGTATGGGTTAACACGGATGAGAAAGCGAGCATGTAGAGAGGAAAAATGCAGTTATCAATACAGGGCTTTAGTTAGGGAATGGTCTCCTGATTTCTGTTGACCTTTTAATAAAAGACAATAAAATTCTAATTATTAGCTTTTAAATATTCATAATTTGATTAATGTTTTTATAAAATAATCTAGAACATTTAAACTTTTTGCTCGAAAAGAAGAGCTTCTGTTTCGCATTCAGTGAAAATTAAACTTTCCAAGCGAATTATTGGGAAGCATTTTTTGCGATATTGCATATTGTAGGTATATTCATAAACATTAATTAAAAAACTATTAATTTGCATTCATCTTACGGCATTGAAAATATTTATACGTGCACTGCTCAATCAATTGTATCAAGACGCTGTAACAAGATTATCTCAGAAGGTAAATATCAAGCAATAACTCCTTCTAAATTTAGCCTAATCAACACAAGTGTGTCAATTAGTTTCAAATAAATTTCTTATTTCTTTTTGAGAGATAGGGCTTTCCATCTTGCGCTGTTCGAGTGCCTCGCTAGCCTGCTACGCCGCATCGAGAATGGACGTGAAAGATATCTTTCTCATACATTATTTTGCCACCAAAATATAGATAAAAAACATTTCATCATAATCAGCAACATCATTCATTAAAAACTTCCACGACTCAATAAAATATGTATTTTACAGGCGGAGTTCAGTATTGTAAATGGTTTTAAACATGAACAATCATTGAATACTGATTTGAAATATTAAAAAGATCAAGTCCAATAATTAAAAATATAAATGAAAATCTCCATGTTATCGTATATGCGAGTGAAATCATTAAAGTTTAAAATTTTATAACAACTATAACTTTTCATCATAATATCCGGTCGAAAATTTAAACAATTTTATAAATCATATCCCTATTTTATGAAGCAAACTTGTTTTTTTTTTTTTTTGACCAGGAGAGAAGAGACTGCCGTTCGACCCTCACTGAAAGAAAACTGTGAGTAAATCTCACTCCCTGTGGCGTCATGACAGTCGAGGTTGCGTCCAGACAACGCGTTAACTCAAGTTTATTCGAATTATTAAATATTTTGATCCAAATAATAATCAAAATTAAGAGTTTTCTCATCATTCCCGTGGTTTACTCAAAACAAAGATGTACAAATTCTAAAAAATGGAAAACAGAAAACTCCGATTTAAATTTTGTCAAATTTAGTTAATTAGGTAATTAATTAATCGGATCATTACTCTGAATATTATTATCTCAATTAAAGTTATAAATGAGGCTGACAACATAAGATCCTATTAATCTTCGTTTTAAATCTTTGTCGAAAAGTGTTCCCCTCGGAATCTTTCACATGCATTCTCGGTGCAGCAATGATTGAAAAAAAGACTGGGTGTTGGTGATTTGATATCTACTGCAAAACGACAATGAAACTCAAGAAGTTTCATGCTATTTCAATGTACCTCAAAAACGAAACAAATGCCAAAAAATTTTAAGGTAACCTTTAAAATTGTAGATAAATTTACGAGGTGGGCAGAAATCGAATGACCTGAGAATAACGACGTTTTTTTCGGGTTATCAAGGTCAACCGGTTTTATATAATCAAATTTCACGATATTTACAAATTGAAACAATCTCAGTTTTCAAATGAACTACTCTGGAGTTTTCTAGACCTTTCCTTCAATATTTTCATTTTTCAATAGTTGTTCTATCTGATGATTTAATAAGTGGTGCGATTGTAGTCTAACTTTTTCACTTGTTGCACTAAGTATATTACTTGACTTAGGATCATATATATGCTCTCTGACGTTTGAGCTGAAACTAAATAACATTAAAGAATAAACATTGAATGAATTAAAAAAGTAGCTTAAATACACTGTACTGAATGAGACTCCCTTTGATCATTTTTGTTTGAAAAATGTAGCTACTTCTTAACCTTTGTTTATGTTTATTACTAGGGCCAACAGAAATCAGATTTGAGACTCCCTTAGATCATTTTTGTTTGAACAATGTAGCTACTTTTTATTCTTTGTATATGTAGGCGTATACAATGTATTAACACGCTCTATAATCAGGCGTATACAATGTATTAACACACTCTATAATGTGCTGGAGGTTCGGCAGCCTCTTCTCACATCTGGCCACAGTCATTAATTCGGCGTCGATTTCATGAAACTAATTAGAATTTAATAGTAAAAAAATATTCTCATCGGGATCAAGTTTTTCCGTTTAAAACGTTTATATACAATATAGAACAATAACGGTCGTGAATTAATATACGAACTGACAATGTCAATAATAGAAACAATAACCAAAAGTCAAGTAGACTCGGGGCAGTTCCAAGTCCGTTAACTCAAGGTACATATGACTTGGAATTACCAGCAGCTCGGAAATAATACCAAATTTGAAAAAGGATTAAATCCAACTTATTTTTGTGTACAGACTATTTTGTGTACGAGGCAAAATATTTGAAGAATCAGCGAACTTCGCCTCCAACACCGAACTACCACTAACCACTGCACAACATCGATGTTTTCATGCGAGATATTTCCCAAGAAGCAAATGACGTTGAAACAACGTTGATAACGAGTTGATTATGTTGAAACAACGTATAATCAACGTTAATTCAATTTCATATGACCCTTTAGTTTAACCCTTCACAGTGACAGATAACTTTTGGTACAGCGGCGGCTTTTAAAAATCAAAATTTGATATGTCATACTTCTTTTTTTTCTGCATTTCGTTAAGATACAAAATTACATCAATTTAGTAACAGCCTAGAAATTAGCAATAACCCTTAGCCTTTACGAAAAAGAGCTTTATTTGAAAACCGAAATGTCAATTGTGATATTTAGATGTGAACTCTGGTCTGCATAATTTGATTTCAGTCAAAATTATTTAAAATATTCATTACTTTTTGAGATATAAAAGGAAATTTAACTGTGAAAGGTTAAACATGAGAATATTATAAGCTTTACCTCCATTGCCGTAGTGCAGACCGTAAAGTAAGGCGGTCCAATAAAGGCTATGCTCAAACATAGATCTTTTTATATCCCATTTGCTAAACTTAATTTTAATTCAATTTATAAATTTATACGAAAATAAATTGGTAAATAAATTAATATAATAATATTTAGTGGCCAACATCACGCAAGTCTAATTTCAAAGACTCATTAATTAACCTCATTAACCTAGTGCATCAGTACTCATAAATAAAACTCGTTAGTTAACCTCATTAACCTAGTACATCAGTACTCATAAGACTCATTAATTAACCTCATTAACCTAGTACATCAGTACCCACGAGACTCATTAATTGACCTCATTAACCTAGTACATCAGTACTCATAAGACTCATTAATTAACCTCATTAACCTAGTTTATCAGTACTCAGAAGACTCATTAGTTAACCTCATTAACCTAGTACATCAGTGCCCAGGAAATTCATTAATTAACCTCATTAACCTAGTACATCAGTGCCCAGGAAACTCATTAATTAACCTCATTAACCTAGTATATCAGTACCCAGAAGACTCATTAATTAACCTCACTAACCTAGTATATCAGTACTAAGAAGACTCATTAATTAACCTCATTAACTTAGTATATCAGTACTAACTAGGATACAATATTACCATAAAAATGTTCTTCTTTTAAATAAAACAAGTTTCAACTTCATAACGTTCTTAGTTTTTTATTTATTAACAAATTAAAAGGGTCAGTTAATTCTGGTACACCCTGTATAATTGTCCTAATAGCGACACACATTTACCCACAGCACGAGCGGAGATAGGACGTAGCCCTGATACGCTACGCTATTTCGTCGGTTAAAACTGGGTCAGGGTGACACACACGAGCTAAAAGTGTAGCGTTATATTTGGCCAAAGTCCAAACCGTGAGTTAATTCAAGATTGCGAGACAAGTTTGTAAATATTTTGCTCAAAATTTCGCTGAGAACATCGTGCAAATTTTAGTAATTTTGAATTCCGTTTTCACTTCGAATTGCGTGGACAATTCAGCAGGCAAAAAAGTGATGTACTGGTCCAGTTTGCGGTACTTTTTTTTTTAAAGTCGATGCGGCAATATACTTCTACGATGCGATTTTAAACAATCAAAATATAAAATTGTAATACAAAAGTCAGTATCAAAATGTCTAGAAAATTGAAGAAATTTTCACATCAGTATCATTTGAACGAGATATAACTTGACGAAAATACTAATTGGCTAAGAAAAAATCGGGACATCATAGGTAGTATTCACATGACTTTAAGAAATCTTAAGAAAAATGACAAACAAACCGTGAGAAACGTAACTAATTAAGTACAGGGAACAGTACAAATATACTAAAAGCACAGTAATTTGTACACGAAACGAAAGCAATGTGAGAAATAATCACTGATAAACGGAATTATATATTAAGATCACAGATATTCGAATATTAAGATTATATATTAGGATATATTAAGATATTTGTACACGAAAGCGAAAGCAATGTGAGAAATAATCACTGTTACTCTTACACGTGTGACGGAACCCGAATTTTATGAAATAATTTTTTTGAGAACGTAGTATTGGCTGAACTAGTAAGATCCGACTTCGTTTTAAGACTAGAGTTTGATGCTATATATTACGTTAAAATAAGACTAAATAATGCGATTGTATTTTTGATTTTGAGACAGCGGCATTCAATGTTGTTGAACTGTGGTATTATTTTGTTAACTCAAGGGTTTCATTTATTTATGACTAAGTAATGCGTAAACAAATATTTATTTCGTGACCGTAATATGGAATCTTGTCTAGCTGTGGTGTTTGTAGGATTTAGTATCTTGGAACGAGACAAGGTGTAGTTCCAACGTTATTGGTCGAGCTGCTCCTAACCTCGTTATAACGCGCGCTAGGTTGTCGTGAACGATGGAGAGTTTGGTCGCTTTGGAATTAGTTTAATATTATTAGATTTTTAACTGTGATTAGATTGCCAAATGATTGCAAATATCTTGACTTTATTGTATTATATTATATTATCTATTTTTTTGCACTTAGGAAGTGTTTACAGTCTGTTTTGTACATTGTAAACGGGGTGTTGAGGTAAGCTCATTTTGGCTGAGTTACCCCCTCGTTGTGTGCGCTCATCGGAAGTTGTGTGTGCTCAGTGGTGCTGGGTTGGGGTGACACGGTTTCGACTCGAATCAGGCAGAGCCAAATTTGGGCTTCCAAGAATAATTTTTAAACTCCACCGCAGTTCTGGGCATAACTCTTAATGAGTGCCTCTAACGGACTAATAACGGCGTAGGTGAAGTTCTTGGATAGTTCCAGGTTTTGGCTGCGTTGGACGGTTAACAGCCGTTCAAATCGCACCCTCGAGGTCGAGGCTAATAACCTCTGCGCTCGAGTAAATTGTCAGCGGCTTATTAGAGGATCGTACCCTTCAATGATCGTGCTTTTGAGGCGTAACTGCCACCCGGTTCTGTGTTCTTGGCAGTGCATTAGGGCTCGAACCCCTGATCATTGCGTTGGTTGTCGGCATTGTGGTACGGCTCGTACCCGTACCCTTGCTGTCCACCCCTGTAAGGTCGTCAGTTTTGTGGTACGGATCGTACCCGTATCCTTGCTGTCCACTCCTGTAAGGTTGTCAGATTTGTGGTGCGGCTCGTACCCGTATCCTTGCTGTCCACTCCTGTAAGGTTGTCAGTTTTGTGATACGGCTCGTACCCGTATCCTTGCTGTCCACTCCCGTAAGGTTGTCAGTTTTGTGGTGCGGCTCGTACCCGTATCCTTGCTGTCCGCTTTTGTGGTCCTCAGTGGTTTATTAGGATTCCTCGACGTTGTATCCCTGAGGCTGAGACCCTGTTTCCCGGAGTTTTTGGACGTAATAAATTGTGTGCCTTGTACAGAGGAATTGTGTATCGTCCGAAGATCACCAATATATTAAGAAAAGTTCCTCGTGTTTATTCCTCCTCTCTCCAAACGCAAAGGAGTTTAGAGCCGGACCAAAGAGCGACTCTTTAGCCCTTGTGTTAAAACCAATACGCAAGTCACCGTCGAGTCGGCACGCTACTCATAACTATTTCGACTTCACGGCGGTGTTTCCGGACACACACGGAATTATATATTAAGATCACAGATATTCGAATACTAAGATTATATATTAGGATATATTGAGATATATTAATATATATAGGCCTCAGAAATATATGAAGATCTGGTCACAGAAACTTACCTACTTAGCTCCCTCGGCGAGGAATAAAGCGATGACCAAAAACCAGACCCTGGGTCATTGCTACCAAAGGAATCATGTTGCTTCAGCGAGGACGCGCTGTGGATGCCGTGTAAACCACCGCTACTGAAAGGCGACGTCGTGAACTGAAACCCCAGGGGCGAACTAGGCACCAGCGGCTGGTGAATACGTCGACCACGTGGGTCATCCTGACTCATCTTCTTAGTAAGGTTACGCATGCGGTTGAGCAGTGTCGAGAAAAGCGACTCAGCTGTTAGGATTTGGAAGCCATCTTCTTCATCTTCGTCGTCTTCGTCGTTGGAGCTCAGGCTCTCCGGGCGCTCGATGGGCACGGTGCGACCTGCGCGACTGAGGGACAGAAAAGATCGTATTACTCTAATATGATAAAAATAATGATGATATCATTATATCAGATGATAACGATGATGATGATAATGATGGATGAATATGATGATGGTATTACTCTAATATGACAATAATATGATAATATGATCATATCAGATACGATGAAATGATCGTATTATTCTTACATGATTATTATGATGATAATATAATTATATCAGATGATAATATGATGATATGATGATCGTATTACTCTCATATGATAATAATGATGATAATATATTCATATCAGATGATAATATGGTGATATGGTGATGGTATTACTGTCATATGATAATAATTATGATAATATCATCATATCAGATGATAAAATGATGATAATAGGCTCCTAGAAATATGATAGTGTCACTGTGAAATAATAGAAAATGTTAAAGGATAATTTGACTCTGCAATGATAATAAATGAAAGAAAAAATCAGGTAATAAATGACAATATGACCGTAAAATGATAATAAACTATGATAAGCCTTGACATGAAATATTAATAAAGCTGAAAAGATCATAAATTAAAATAAACCTCGAGATGAAATGATAAAAAGTTCGGAGTGAATATCTCAGTAGCAAAAAAAAGGCTAAGACAATAAATAATGTGCAAGGTTGCCAGTACCAAGGCAGAGAATATAAGAGGTGTGTCAATAAGAGGTGTGTCAATAAGAGGTGTGTCAATAAGAGGTGTGTCAATAAGAGGTGTGTCAATGAGAGGTGTGTCAATAAGAGGTGTGTCAATAAGAGGTGTGTCAATAAGAGGTGTGTCAATAAGAGGTGTGTCAATACAACGGGCATTTATCAGAGATAAATGCCCGTTGGGGCATTTATCACGGGACTTAGAAGTAAAATGATTTCCTTGTTCACGAGCAAAATAGTACATAGTTTCACATTCCTAAAACATAAAGCCAATCATTTTATAGATGTCACTTTATCGCATGTCACCTCAGAAACGACAAGGACTTGAAATTCTATAAATTATACATACATCAATACCATACATTGTACATACAGATATCAATGTAAAATGTACATACATTGACACCTTACATTGTACATACATATGAAATCAATGTACATACATTGAAGCCATTAAAGCGGGTTTATTACTCCAAAGAATTTCTTTTTTTTTTCAATTGACGTTACTGAAGAGGGGGAGAATCGCGAGGAATTAAGGATAAAAGAGTTAATGTAGAAGCTGAAGATAAATCAAGCAGCAATGAGCGGAGGATAAAATATCTAATAAATAAATAAAAATGTCACTACATGTGTAAATAAAAACAATAACAGTAGCAAAAAATTCAAAAAATATATCTCTCGAAAATCTCAAGCATGTTACGATAGGCAGCAGTGTTGAAAGAAATTTCAACAACGTAATGGTTAAAAAATTGAACAAATTAGGAAATACGATTACAAGGTTGATGAGAATAAAACAGAAGGACACATGAGTGAACGTGATGCAATTAAATAAAAAACAATAATGCCTTACAGAGAAAACAAAACAGGGTAACTCTGAAGCAGTCTAAACTTTCATCATTCACACCCTCAAGCTCATATCGCTTGAACGCCATTTAATTAAGTGACATGAGCATATCAACAAGACCAAAGTATCGAAAATTTTGATTCAATTTAAAATCATGAAAAAGTTGAGGGTGTTTGTAATTTGTATTGATATGTACGTAATTGAATATACTTTTAAAAACGGCAAGATGCCTTATAAAATGATGAATAAGAGGCGATCATAAAATGACTTTATTGTAATCAGAACGTATAAATTGGTCAAATGAACAAAAACGGAGACGTGAATGCGTGAATGAACGGATTGAAAAGTCAGTGTTCGCTCGAAAAAATATAGATAAGTGACAATTTTGGAAATGATGATAGGTACGTCTTTAAGTTGTAGTGCGATTTTTAAAAGAGGTCTATCAGAGTATACAAGATATTTAGCTCATACTTCACTAGTTTCTTTGGAAGTAATCTTAAATTTACAAGCTTTTCTAATTATAACAAATAAGATCAACTGCAGGAACCTGAGAACCCTGTTGAGTGAATACGAATCCTCAATTATCAACCTTGCAATTGAATGAGCTACAATTGGAAGGAAGATAAAAACGGTTCCATAATAAAAACGGTTCCATATTTTCAACAATAAAAACGGTTCCATGGGTTGAAAAAAATATATGAATGTTATCAAAAGAGCAGAGCGAGTAATTGGACAATGTTAAAAGACTGATAACAGAAAGATGATTCCGAGGTGAGGAACTGATAACAGAAAGATGGTCCCGATGTGAGTAACTGATAACAGAAAGATGGTCCAGAAGTGAGGAACTGATAACAGAAAGATGGTCCAGAGGTGAGGAACTGATAACAGAAAGATGGTCCCGAGGTAAGTAACTGATAACAGAAAGATGGTCNACAACAGAGAATGTTTACAACAGAGAATGTTTACAACAGAGAATGTTTACAACAGAGAATGTTTACAACAGAGAATGTTTACAACAGAGAATGTTCACAACAGAGAATGTTTACAACAGAGAATGTTTTCAACAGAGAATGTTTACCACAGAGAATGTTTACCACAGAGAATGTTCACAACAGAGAATGTTTACCACAGAGAATGTTTACCACAGAGAATGTTTACCTATGTTCAGTAGAAGACTGATGTTGAGAGGGGGTTGGGGGTGAGGAGTAGGGGTCCAGGGGAGGGGGGGAGGTAGCCTCGTCATCCCCCTCCAGGCTGATGGGGATGATGCGCTCCCGACGGGATTTCCTAGGGTATGTCGGGGGGTTCAACCCGGGGATGTTAGATATTACACGCAGAGCAATGTTAGAACATTCAAAAAATGCAACATTCAGTGCAATGCATCATAAAACAATGTTATGACATTCAAAATAAAAACCCAACACGAATCTATCTCAGTCGTAAATTTATGCTATTTCAAACAGCAAAATTTACTTTAATAGTTGAATTTCATATTATACGAATAGGTATATACCGTATATTTATTTTAGAGCAATGCTAAACATATGTTGCAGACGGTCGAAGAATCGAGCACGGGCCAACAAAATTTTTAATACTTAACAATACTTTTAATACTTTTTAATACTTTACTAGTTGAATTTCATATAATACGATTAAGTATATAACGTATATTTATTTTACAGCAACGCTAAACATTTCTCGCAGACGGTCGAAGGTTCGAACACGGGCATTAACACACGCGTATGAAGTTAACATACGAAGTTTTCTTGTTCATATGAAAGGTAATATGCCACGAAAAATTTAGGTTGATGTTGCTTAAAAAAATAAATGCTGTGCAATGTTTACCGCCGCAGTGATGTAACAGGAACGTTTCACGTATTAATTAAAATATAGCAGGTGAACACAAACATAATTTTTAGAGTGCAAGATAGGGTCACATTAGAAATGACTGAATTAAATAGGTATTATGGAGAATTTTATGTTAATTTTTTATGACGGTTGGGAATCTATTCATAATTTAGTTCTCATTTACGGTAATCAATGACATGAACAGTAATGTGGGTTTTTATTAGCGCTTGCACTCAATGAAAATAATATGATCTTTTGAATGTATATTATAATCTCACTACACAGTTCATTTTCTTTCTTTTTTTGGTGAATTCTGTCCAGAAATTAATCATTTATTAAAAAATTAGGGAAAATTTCCAAAATTGAAAAATTTGTATAGTTTCGGGAATAGTGGCAAGAAATAATGATACGAATGGAAAGTTAATAAAAAATTGAGTGTAATCGTAGAAAATCTTTTAATCAACATTCAAAAATCACAAAAAAATGAACTCGAAGCACGCACACGGAAGACCTAAAAAATATATGCAATTCAACAATGAAATTGTCAGAAATTACTTTATTGTTACAAGAAAAACAACCTCAAAGCTTCATGAAACAATTACGGGGAATAGAACCGTTATTTCGACTAGAATTTTCACAACCAGTTGCGGGTCTCGAACCCCCAATTCGCAGATCTTATCTTGGTTACGGATACGGTAATAATTGGTGACAGATACGGTAAGAATTGGTGACGGATACGGTAAGAATTGAAGACGGATACGGTTAGAATTGGTGACGGATAGATAAGAATTGATGGCAGATACGGTAAAAATTGTTCACTGATACGGTAAGAATTAATGACCGAAACTTTAAGAATTAGTGACGGTAAGAATTGATGACGCATACGGTAAGAATACGGTAAGAAATAAATTATTAAATTAGTGTAATGTTTACCGTATGGGCTCAGGCGAGGCCCCCACGGGGGGCTCTGCCTGGATGCCGAGGGTGCCACGGGACCCCGAGCGTCCCGAGAACACCCCGGCCGAGGGGACGGCGCGGCTCTTGAACAGCGGGCTCTGCATGAACGTTTCTCCGCCTACAAATAATTAAGTCACATCAATTATTAAACAGTTAAGTTATATTAAATAAATACATAATCACACAAATATTATATAAGTAAATAATTAAATCACATGAAATAAATAATCACATTAGAAAAAAAGTAACATTTAATTGACGAAAATAAGGCAAGCATAGCCACAGAAATGATTATATTTACCATGCCAAAAATACGGCCAGCATAATCACCGAAATTAATAGAATTGCTACATTCGCCTGAAGTAATTGTTACTCATAATATATTATGTACTAGTAATATATGTACTAATAATATTAATATTATTATTATGTAATAATATTAATAATAATATTATTATTATGTACTAGTAATATATGTACTAATATAATAATAATATAATATATTATGTACTAGTAATATATTATATTACTATATTACTAATATAGTAATATAATATATTACTAATACTATTACTACTTAATAGGTCGAAATATATTACTATATGTTGGTAAAATGTGCACTATTATTTTGTTTGTCATCATTAATAATAAACAACGGTTTAAAAGATCAGAATTGACTTGAATGAAGTTGATAATGTGTGCAACGTTTAGCCGATATTATTTAAAAGATAATAGAAAGCTGGTCGAAGCTATCAGTGAACAGTTAAGTGGGAAAGGCATCAAACTTAAAATTTGAACACACAACTTATGCATTATATTATGCCCCATATTATGCATTATGCACTATATTATGCATTAGGCACTATAGACACATTTCCATACAACTTTCATGCTCCCAATTGTTGTATTTTCCCATCCACAACAAATTGTAAGAAATAATTCCAGAAAATGACTGCAATCTTAACCAAAGATTTATATTAAAACAATCATTCAATTTACACCACGAACCGCGAGAGAGGCTCGCACTCGACGAATTTTTACTTCGTTGTCGCTCGTCGCTACCCGTGGATCTGTCATCGTCATCATGGTCCTCAAGCATGATAGGGATTATTCGTTCACGAGGCGCCCTTTGTAATATACCGTCGCCGGCGGACGAGACCTTGGGGGGCGACGGGCGTCGGACGGAAGGAGTGGTCCGTAGCACCGGTGCTACGTTGTGGCGAACCTAACAGTAACGTGACAGTTTAAGTTATTATTATATAAATAAGGTAGTTATTATTTTATATAAATAAGGTTTCCAGTGAAGATATTATAAGGGGAACCTTATTTCTAACAGTTATTTCCAGGGGAACCATATTTTATTGAGAAATAGTTGCTAGAAAAAAAGGCTCCCAGTTGAAATACGTGCAATAAAATATGGTTCCCCTAGGTTGCCCTGGAAATAACTGTTAGAAATAAGGTTCCAAACTATTTCAAGTGGAAGAAATTGTACGATATCTTAAAAGAAATTTTACGATCAGTTTAAGATAGTTTCATCAGAAAAGCAGTGACAATAATGTAAAAACTTGTTTTTTTTTTAAGCGTAATTTTAAAGCAGAGTAGGGCTTTGAAACGACAACTTTAACATTCAACCCATACCGGATAAATCTTGGGAAAAATTATTCGCATGAAAAAAAGGTTTATCTTGAACCTGATAGAAAAAATTACACCGAAGGAAAAAAGTTACTAAACTACTCAAAGCTAATGTCGATAAAAAACAACATATAATTAATTTTGAGCAAAACACCAACGATACATTTTAAACCAGAGGACTAGTTTAGGAACTAATTATTGGTACCGAATCCGTTTAGGAGAAATATAGAAGACGTTTAAGGAAGGATTAGATTCTCATGAATTCAAGATAGTGATCAGAAATGTGAATACATTCAATTTCAATTCTAAGAAGAAAAATCTTTAGATCTAAACACTAAATTTAGTATGGAAAATGTTGAAGATTTACAATTATTCAAGATTAAAATGATTAGTTTTGTCACCAATGGAGCCATAGATTTCGTTGTAGGGTTGAAAGCCAAAGCATTGGAAAAGAGAAGGTCTAATAATTAGTGTAAATATTTTATAGAAAGATGAACATGTTATGCTAATTGACAGTAGGTCTAGTGTAATGCCACGTTTACTTATAATCAGTAATGTGTGTAATAATTCCGATAGAAGTGCCTCAATTTGAAATATTAATATAATGTAATTCCACCCGTATTGAATAATTGAAACGAGCACCGTGAACAAATTAAGCCTATATTTGTGACCAACCACGTTCAATTTCAAGTTAATGTCAATGAAATAAAATATCCCCACAATTCAACATTTTGACCAAGCATTTCGAAAGCCCAGCTAATTTATGCTCTGTGTCGTTTGAAATAAACGGAGGTATTGTTATGGCACCTAAAACCCCATTGACGCTAGAAAATCTCGTACCTCCAATAACGAAACTCTTCATAAAACTGCACAATCCAATGAAATAAATATTGGCCGCTCATGAGCCGTAACTACTGGTGACAAACAAATAAGTTCTCATTAAAACAGAAGACTTCATCAGTGTCTTGAAGGAACTATTTCTTTCTAACTTTAAAACCATCCTACAGATTTCAATATCCATTATTCTGTTTTTAAATCAAAAATATATCTCTAAAGTTTGTCCGCAACAATGAGCCTGAACATTTGGGCAGAGGTCGCCTATTGAGCAGCCAGATTGGAGCACTGAGTTGCGTATTCGAATCCCCAGCTAGCTGTATGAATTCAACCATATCTAAAATCTGCGACAGACCAGATTTGACCAATCATGGGCCGACACCGCTAATTTCATTACTGTTCCCTACAGCCAACATGCGCCACAGCCAACACACGCCACAGCCAACACACGCCACAACCAATATACGCCACAGCCAACACACGCCACAGCCAACACACGCCACAATCAACACACGCCACAGTCAACACACGCCACAGCCAACACACGCCTCAGCCAACACACGCCACAGCCAACACACGCCACAGCCATCACACGCCACAGCCAACACACGCCACAGCCAACACACGCCACAGCCAACACACGCCACAGCCAACCTCGGACTTGTACTCCGGTTTTGGCGCGGCTGTGAGATGAATTTCAGCGTACGACGAGCGACGCTTAGAGTCGGGGGCGGTGGCCTCTCTAGCCGCCACGGGACTCAGTACGAGAACTGCGGTGCTCTTGCGGCTTACTGGAATCTCTTCGTCCTATGTGAGGTAAATGCTACCGTGAACACCTGCCTAATATTGCCTAAAAATAAATTGGACTACTGCCTACTGCAGAGGTTATAGTTCCTCATTTTGGTAACAATGCAAAATGTGATCAAAAAAATTGTCATGCATCCCACGTCAACTTTAACAGCCGAAACGAAACCATCGGAAGGACAATTTCCCCACTAAATATTAGGAGAATCGAAACTTTCTCAAACGCTAACTATTGTACAATATCTGAATACGCCCGTGAACTTAAAGCATTTTGCGTGTATGCTCTATTGCCCATTATTTCTTGAAATATTCTTTCACCACCGAAAATTTCATAAAATACCCATAAAACTATGTTTTGAACTTTATAACCTCAAGTAAACTATGAAATGTAATGTACACCAAAGATATAAATAGAGATTAATTAAAAGATGAAGTATTGGACGCTAGACGAAGAAGTGATAAGACTGTAAAAAGCCAAATAACTGGTCTAAAGGTAAACAGGAGTTGGATAAAAAGCCGAAAAGAAATTAAGTTCTTAGCAGAGAAGCAAAAGCTTTAAAATGTGGCAGAAGCAATGGCAGTAATTCTACTCCTAGATTAATTCGCTGACTATCTATTTTTCACCAACAACATTCGTTGATATACATAATTTTATGAGTATAGAACACAATAATTAGTACAAAATGAGTAACAATAATAGGTATAGATCACAATATGACAATAGCAATAATTAGTACATATCACAATATGATGGTAGAAATAAGCATAGGGACCGATACGAAAATAACAATGATGAACACGATACGGAACATCCACGAGGGTACATAACATTCCGATTCCTGAATCTGGGGCCATACTTTCAAAATTCGCTAAGTTAACGTAAGTACATACGCTCTATTTTCTTGTCTATGATTGGTGGATTTTGCTTGAAAGGCCGTCAATGATTGGCTGATGAACTTACGATCTCTTAACTTTTTTTGAAATTATGGGCTCTGATTCGTCAATCCTTACGTATATATATATATATATATACGTAAGGATTGATGAATCCTACGGCACAGCCAACCCATAGGGACTAATTTAATATGAGATGAAATCTGAAATATAACCTAACGGATTTATCGTCTTGTAAATTATGCAGACTACTTGCATAATGCACGAAAATTCATTTAATTTGATTAAATAATCGGAAGAAGATAAAAAGTGTAAAAATTGCAAGAAGTCAAATTCCGCTAAATTTAATTATAAAAATATGTAAATTTTAATTAAACAACGAATTTCGGTTATTATTTTTAAAAACAAAGTTAAATAAATTGCTCAATTCAAAATGGATGCATGAGAAAGCTAAAAATGGACTACCTTCGAACATTTAATAATAAAAATCCAATAAACCTGAGAATTGATCCACCGCTGCCAAGGAAGGTAATTAGAGAAACCTGTGAGGACATCACAAAAATGTATGGGTCAAATTGTCCAAATAATAACACACTTTCTTATCAACAGCATGAATAAAGAGCAGCCGTAGCACTGATACGCCTTTTTGCTGAGCCAAACTGGGTCAGAATGACCGACACGAGATGCAAAAAAGTGCATTGATATTTGGACAAAGTCTTACTTATTTTTAGCGCATTTTCTCATTCATGGAAAAATGCACTATTGTGCTCGTCACGTCTGTCCGTCTGTCTGTCCGTCCGTCCGTCTGTCCGTGACCTCACGTTTTCGTCGACGAGAAAATGCGCTCTCTGTCACTCCTTGCAGTGAGTACTGAGTTATATTTTTAGCGCATTTTCTCATTTATGGAAAAAATTCACTATTCTACTTGTCATGTCTGTCCGTCCGTCCGTCTGTCCGTGACTTCACGTTTTCGTCGGCGCAAAAATGCGCTCTCTATCACTCACTGCAGTGAGTACCGAGTTATATGTTTAGCGCATTTTCTCATATATGGAAAAAATTCACTATTGTGCTCGTCATGTCCGTCTGTCTGTCCGTGACCTCACGTTTTCGTCGACGAGAAAATGCGCTCTCTGTCACTCACTGCAGTGAGTACCGAGTTATATTTTTTTGAGTGTTTGGACAAATTCTTACTTATTTTTTTTAGTGTACCAGTGACCTACCACGGAGCGAGGAGACGGAGAGAGCACTTGCGAGGGAGGTATAGCAGTGATCTGCTTGAGGAGTACAGGAGGAGTAGAGCACTCCTGTTAGTGAGGGAGAAGCCGAGGAATATAGCACTCCTGTTAGTGCATGCTTTTTTTATTCATTTGTGTTAATTATACATAAAAATCGTACCGTAGACATCCTGAAAGACATGTTTCTTAAAATTAAGGCTTGAATTGCTTTTGCGTGAACTTGCATTTACTAAATCCAGTAGAGTTCCGATTTTGAAATAATTGACCGAAGATTAAACGCGAGTAATTTATTCGAATAAGGAATAGGCATGATGGCTATGGAATTAAGAGCAAATATAAAGTAAAGAATTATTAGCAAGCAGTGACCTAAATTGAACGAACGACATCAATATAGTGGAGCGTCTATATAATTGTTTCATCAAGTTAGTTTTTTAATTTGCTGTCGAATTTTACACTTAGCCTTCTACTTTTAAGCTAAGGCCGCGTTTCTACACGAAGAGTATAAAAATGCAATGGGCAAGCCATTAGAATAATTCTTCGAGATAGGTTCCGTGATTCAACTTTAAATTATTTTTACGGTTTTGTTTTAACTTCAGTTTCCCACTTGGGCGCTAGAAAACCACCCATATTGGTAGCCTAATCAGAAATTAATTGGTGAATGTATATAGAACAGTTAAGTTAATTCGGAATAAAACTTTTACGAGTAGCTTAGGCTTCTCAAAAATCAAAAGAAAAACCAAAAGATTTATAATACGAAGAACCGAAAATATTTTGCTGACGCAAAATATAGGGATTTTCAAGAGCTGCCTAATCCTACTACAAGAAGAGCCAATTAGGACAAAAAATATCCTATTCAAGGAATTAATATCGAAAGATCAACGGTGATTCGTTTGTCCCAACTTATAATCAACTAAACAGAAATATTAAATAAAGCCAATGGATTGTACAGTTAGAGGTATTAAATCGCATTAATTTTACAAATAAATATGAAATGATATAGGATTCAAACGTGTAACCAAGATGTTACAGCGTTGTGGTACGGTAAATATTCGAAAATTTTATGAACGCGTGAATTAACTTAAAGTTTATTTTACAATTTAAATTGCGATTTCATGGACGAATTCTTATACGTTTCTGTGGAGCTCCTTTCTAGGTTCAGCAAAATTTGACACAATGAATCAATTTAAAAAGTTAGCATTAATGAGTTATTAAGCATGAGGATTTTACTGATGCATTGCATCGTCCTTTGAAATTGAAAGCAACGTGGGATTTATTATAGAAATGAGAACAGTAGCAGGAAATTAGCCTTAACAAAAGCATTATTCAGTCGCATTAGAAACACAAATTAAAAAGCGATTAAAAAATATTACGATGAAGCATAAACTCGAAAATAAATACAGTGCGAACGAAAACGGATAAAAAATTAGAAAATTTTCCAAACGTCGATTTTTTAAATTTTCCTAAAGACAACTTCCAAACTTTGTTTCCAATTGAAGACTAGTAATGTAGCAGTCAGGAATGATTGCTCAATATCTTAAATATTAATTTTGAAGTAAAAATAAATATTCAATTTGTCCGATTTTGAATATTGGCATATAGGGTAGAAAATATTTCCCCTTTGTTTACCTGATTATGCCTTGGCAGGCGATGCATGTTGATGAAAAGTATCTGACACTTTTAACGAATCAATTGGCAATTTGTTCTGATTTCGCGGATATTAAATCACTATCGAAATACGGATAACGAAATATTTTTTCTATAGAATTTATGTAAGTAGATGAAACACTAACCTTACATCGCGTATGTCTGAATATTACCAACAACAAAGGACTTTCAGTTTGCAAGGCTCCTACAACTCCTATAATTCCTACAACTCCTTTAACTCCATCCCACCAGAAAAAAGTATGTCTGCCAGCAGAATATACGTATATGGACCGGAATGCATTCATAAAAATTACGTCTAATCCAATTCGCATGGGCTCAATCCCTTCAGTCCGCATTCTTTAAAGCTACATAAAAATTAAATCGAGATGTCGCATCAGAAAGATGAACCAAATTGCAGGAATTCTAAAGCAAATTCTTACCTGCGGGACCAGTTTCGGTTTCTCGGTTTGTTTGGTCTTGAATCCCCGCGGTAAAGTAGCGGATTTAGCCCCAGCAGGCTGCTCCGCATCCGTGATCATGCTGGCCGAGGGTATCGAGTCCGGCTTAACAGGTTTCACAATTTCCTCCGACTTTTCCGACACCGGTTCAGAGACACTTTTTTCCATCTGATGATCCTTGTTGACCATGCAGAGCCTCTGCACCCTATCCTTGGTTGGTGATAAGTCTTGGGCTTCGTCGTTCTGTTGAGAAACTTTCCGCAGCTTCTCTTTTTTTGCGGCTTCGACGAGCTCTCGTCTTTCAGACAACTGACGAAGGAGTTTTTCAGCCTCAGATTCCGAGTCAGAAGATTCGGAAGATTCCGCTTTCGTGGAAGGCTTAGGCTTGGGTTTTTTAGTTTCTTGAGTTGGTGGAGTTCGTTCAACGTCTGGTGTCGCTACATCTCTAGTGGAAGAAGCAGAAGTGATTGAACTCTTTTTGGTCGAAACCACGGACGGTTTAGCTTTGTCTTTGACAGGTGAAGATCTTTTGGAAGGCGTTGACTCTTTCCTAACCTCCCAGGTAGGTTTTCGGACCTCTTTAACGGGTGATTTCTCTTTCGCGACGACCTCTTTCGTCGGCAATACTTGGCTCTTCGTTGGTTTTTTCTCTTCCTCAAGAGTTTCACCAGAAGCTGTTGTCTGACTTTTAGGTTTTTCAGAAGTCTTTTCTTGCGTGCTTTCTTTCTTGGCATCTGAGTCGGGTTTTCTGACAGGTTTTCCAGGAGGAGGTAGCGAAGCTTCTTTACTCACCCCAACCCTCGTCGGCGACGTGGGTAAAGATCCATCACGTCGGGATTCTCCGCTACTGTCCGACGATGTTCTCCGAAATCCACTTCCGACTTTTTCGGTGGATTTATTCTCGAAAGATTTTTTTACGTCGGATATCTGCGCAACGAATAACTTTTTAGGAGGCTTTGAATCAAAACTCAAATAGCGAGTCAGACTTGTTAAAGCTATTTAAATCGAAAAATATTTGTAAAATAAATACATCGCATTAGTAAATTATTAGAACCTTGATATATTTAATACATTTATTCGTTACAACATGCAAACATAGAAAATATGTATACCTAATGTAAAGGGCATTTATGATTGATTTCTCTTGTAAGCGATGATTCAATTAGAAACAAAAGTAAATCAAAATATACACGAAACTAAAAAATCATACGGCAATTCAGTGTAATTCCAGTATAATTATTTTTTTTTCAAAGTATAGAATATCAAACAAAAAGGAGTCGAGGCGTCAAAAATAAAGCAAGACTAACCTTGAATGAGCCAACCACAGGTTTCTTGCGTTCCGGCAAAGGCTTTTCTTCGAACTTCTTAGTGAGATCAGACATATTGAGGCCACCAGGCCGAGGAGTTTTACGTGTTTTGTCAGTGGCAGCAGGAGGAGGTTTATCACTTTGCTGACACATGCTGTCCCACATCGCAGCTTTAGAGAAGATCTTCGAACCACGACGACTAGAGTCTTGCTTGCCAGGGCGAGCTTCGTTGGAAGATTCAGAGCCGGTTCGACTTCTGGCAGGAGTCGATACGACTGAGGAATGTTGGCTGGATTCTTTGCTAGATTCGGCGACTTCAGAGTCTTTCTTCATTGAGTCGGTTTCTGACTTTTTCTTTGATGTATCCTTTATTTTAGAGGCAGTTTCTTTAAGCAACTCATCGGTATCGGGAGGAACTATCTCGTTGCAACTGCCGTTGCTCAAAGGAGTTTCAACTTTTGAGGATGAATCGTTCTTAGAAACTTTAGTAACTGACGAAGTTTTGGAAACTTTGCTAACAGACACAGGTTTCGATAGTATTTTAGCAGCAGACGGGGCCTTAGTAAGTTCCTCTGAAGTAACAGTTGGTTTACTCGGCGTGGATGAGGCAGACTTCTTGGCGGCCGAAGACTTGAATGTTTTAATAGGAACTTCAATCACAGACTTAGGTGGACTTGGAGAAAGTCTTGTAGATATCGAGGAATCGGAAGCCTTCAAGGTTCCGTCAGTGGACACCGCAGAAATAACGGACTTATTGCTAGGGGACTTGATGCTTAACGCCTTATTCTCTAAAATTACGGCCTCTGTGTGACTGTTTTTGCTGATGTCGTTCGACAACTCCAGCTCCGGCGTAATCGCTTTGGGTGTCACATCTCTGGAGTCTTCGTCTAAAGCGGTCTCCATGTTGGTAATACTCGACATTTGTGACTCGTCTCTAGACTTGCTTTCACTATTCTCAGAGGGTTTTGGGGGCTCGGTTTCTGGACTAACTGGTAACTCTTTATTACTCCCACTTGTTTTTTTGTCGGTTTCACCTCCGACGCTCGGCTCCTTGTCCACCGACGGCTCGATTTTTTTGGTAGTCACAGGTTCAGCGTTTTCATCGATCTCCATCAACACACCATCGGAATCTTTGTTCTTTACACTCTTTCTCTTCTCAGTTTTCTCGCTGGCAGTTTCATCTTTTGAAACTTTCTTCTTGGGTTTCTTCTTCTCCTCAGCGGCGCCGGTCGGAGGTCGCTTTCCTTCGCCAGTTTCGACGGGCTTCACTGAAGATCCTGGCGACGCGGTGCCTTCTTTCCTTTTTTTGACGCCCCCGGTGCGCGCTTCCGACTCCCGACGACGTTTGTCGTCTTCCCGACGAGCTGCCGACGACACCGACGAGTGGTCGTCTCTGGTGGCCGACGATAAGGCGCCTAAAGACAGCGACCGCGTGGCTTGCGGTCCATTGGTTGTCGTGGTTGGCGGTGCGGGAAGCTGAAACAAATACAATTCATTTAAACACGCATAATAATACGTGGCTCACTGCCTTCGAAAACAAGACTCTTATTAATTCTTCTCATGTTACAGGCAATTAGTTATAACAAGTTTGTTTATTCACTTCCTAATATACCATATTAACTACATAAAATTTGCTACAATACTACACCTCATTATTATTCATCGTGACCTCATAGGTCCCAATTCGTCCGTGACCTATTTTTCTACCATCGGTAGAACCACGCGCCCGGCATGGAAATATGCATCATTCTTATCACTATATTCCTCATAAAGCTCACAACCACCCCCCCCCCCACCACGACGCTGGTCTCCTTATCCTCCATCATAATGAACTCTGCTCAACAACGAATGTATCTCCCACTATTGTCACTATTTTCCAGCCAACCGTACGCACCGCAGCGCTGGCCTCCTCATCCTCGGGCTGTATAAGCATGTGCTCGCTGCTGATGTGTTTAGGTGCCAGGGACAGGAGCAGGTCTAGCCTGACGGGGGTCTGGTTGGCTAGGGCCTCAGCTTCGTCGTAGCAGCTCCTTGCCTCGCCGTCGTTGACCCACCAGTGCCGGCAGATGTCAGTGATGTTGGCGCGCTGGTCTGCCGCTACGGTCAGCATGCTGCGTACCAACGGTGACGCCGCTGGTGGAATATCACGGGAATTTAGGATCTTTTACTGAGAAAGTGAATAGACCACTAAAATACAGGCTGTTTAGCGCATTTTCTCATTTATAGAAAAAAGGCGCTACTGTCAGCATGCTGCGCACCAACGGTGACGCCGCTGGTGGAATATCACGGGAATTTAGGATCTTTTACTGAGAAAGTGAATGGACCACTAAAAGAAAGGCTTTTTAGCGCATTTTCTCATTTATGGAAAAAAAGGCGCTAATGTGCTGTCATGTCCGTCCGTCTGTCCGTCTGTTCGTCCGTGACTACCAGTACACGTTTTCGTCGACGAGAAAATGCGCTCTCTTTCACTCACTGCAGTGAGTACTGAGTTATGTTTTTTCAATGAATGTTCAGATTGAGTATTTTTTTTCTTACGTCTAGGAAATGTTTTGGGTGAAAATCAACGTTTTTTCAATATATCTAAGTTTGGGATATGAATTTTCTTCGTGTTATTCAACATATCTGAAGAAATTTGGAATGATAGATATTTATGTTATTTTCTTGGAAACGCATGGAATGTTTTTCCGATGTATTGGGGAAACGCATAGAATTAATGTTTTCTTTTTTTAGGAGATCGAAGTTTCATTGTGTGTGATGGTTAGCCAATACTTCTAACGAAGCTTCGATCTCTCAGATATTTTTTTTTAACCGACACGATACTCTAGCTAAAGCATTTTCTCCATTTTAAATTTGCTAAAGCTTTTTCTCCAGGAATTGATGTGCCTTTCTAAAATGCCCAGTTGCAACATTGAAACATTTTGCAATACGAATACAATGTCCAAAAATATAAAACATGATAAATTATGATAAAAAATAGGACATGATTAGAAAAACTTGGCTGCAAACTTTGTGAATCAGAAGAGAATCTGCAAATTTATGGAATACGAGTCACATGATAGCGTGGGGGGCTCGTAGAAGTCCCCCTGTGAATCAGGGGACAATCAAGTGTATGAGACACTCACAGGAAGGTGTAGGGGGCTCGTAGAAGTCCCCCTGTGAGTCAGGGGACAATCAAGTGTATGAGACACTCACAGGAAGGTGTAGAGGGCTCGTAGAAGTCCCCCTGTGAGGTCAGGGGACAATCAAGTGAATGAGACACTCACAGGAAGGTGTAGGAGACACTTAGAAGTCTCCCTGTGAGGTCAGGGGACAATCAAGTGTATGAGACACTTACAGGAAGGTGTAGGAGACACTTAGAAGTCTCCCTGTGAGGTCAGGGGACAATCAAGTGTATGAGACACTTACAGGAAGGTGTAGGAGACACTTAGAAGTCTCCCTGTGAGGTCAGGGGACAATCAAGTGAATGAGACACTCGCAGGAAGGCGTGGGGAACACCTAGAAGTCCCCCTGTGAGGTCAGGGGACAATCAAGTGAATGAGACTCACAGGAAGGTGTAGGAGGCTCGTAGAAGTCCCCCTGTGTGATCTGCTTCACGAGTCGCCGGAAGTTCGAGCCGTCGAAGGGCATAGCGCCGTACACGAGCGTGTAGAGCAACACTCCCAGCGACCAGCAGTCAACCTGCACTCGGAAAAGAAAGGAGTTATACTGCAGCGGTCCGGACGCTCTGTAACAGCTTGTGCTGTGATGTTTAGTTCTGACGCCGTATTACTACCAAATCGACTGATCATTTCAAAGCAAATGATCTTTTCAAAGATCATTTCAAATGTTCTTTGTGCAATTGATCATTTCAAAGATTCAAAAAGATCGCTTCAAAGGAAATGATCAAAATAAATGATCATTTATTGACTCCGCATTACTCCCACAGCGACTGGAAAGTAAGAGAAGAGAAGAAATTGTCCTGTGAGAAAATCCCGCTACTACCGAAAGTGACACGAGTATGATCAGCGGTCTCATGACAATGGACCGATTACGATTGACTATTACCACAACCCTGTTTCCTTATCATTTTCTTATATCAACGATCGCTTACCTTGAGCAAATACACTTTCAATATAACCTTCGAGGTTCTAACATACTACAGTAGTGTGATAAAAACTGGACGCTTAATTGTGTGTAAGGTGGTGAATTAGACATAAATAATTATAATTATAAACTCTGGAACGGATGTGACATATCCATTAACCTAACCTGCATTGGAAGATATAACTATATCTTATCTAAACATTTATGATATACTTCAATCATTATACCACAATTGGACGAGTCGTGATACTTTTGTACAATTTTTGTTCGTATCGCTCACGAGTATTTTTCTTATAAAAAATGTACCTATCGTGCTCATGAGCATAGCAGTTACAAGTGACAAACCCTATAAATTTTCCTACACTTTAGAAAATTAATGGTTCATTGTTCAAAAGGTGACACATCACCCACAGCACGACCAGACAGCGGCCGTAGCACCAATACGCCCGTTGTGTCGGTCTTAATTGTCAGGATGGTCACATAATGGCAAAAAAATGCATCGTTATAAAGTAACCTTCATTTCTCTGAATGCAGGAGTTTAAGCTGCAATTCCCTTAGAACAAAATTATGATAGCAAAGAAATAAGTAATATAGGTAACCATTTCATCGTACCTCAGGGCCTACGTATTTCTCTGAGTGCAGGAGTTTGAGCAGCAATTCGTTTAGAACGAAATTATGATAGCAATGAAATAAGTAATATAGGTAACTATTTGATCGTACCTCAGGCCTACGTATTTCTCTGAGTGCTGGGGTTTAAGCTGCAATTCGCTTAGAACAAAATTGTGATAGCAAAGAAATAAGTAATTTAGGTACCCATTTCATCGTACCTCAGGGCCTACGTACGGCACGCCCTTGACGATCTCGGGTGACGCGTAGAGCGGAGACCCGCAGAAGGTGTCTAAGCGCCGCTTCTCGTCGAACACGTTAGACAGCCCGAAGTCTGCGATCTGTGGACATGGGGTGAATATGGGGTGAATATGGGGTGAATATGGGGTGAACATAGGGTGAACATGGGGGGGCATGGGGTGAACATGGGGTGAATATGGGGTGGACACGGAGTGAGCATGGGTGGAGATGGGGTGAACATGGGGTGAACATGGGGTGAACCAACCTGGAGTGAACATGGGGTGAAAATGGAGTGAACATGGGGTGAACATGGGGTGAACATGGGGTGAACATGGAGTGAACATGGGGTGAACATGGGGTGAACATGGAGTGAACATGGGGTGAACATGGGGTGAACATGGGGTGAACGTGGGGTGAACATGGGTGAACATGGGATGAACATGGGGTGGACGCATCGCTGTCAGCATATCCTGTGTCAGCATGCACGTGTTTAGATTCATGTGTTCGAGGTGAATAGAATATACATTAATTTGCCCTAATTGGTATTCGTTGAATTCAGTCGTTATTACGCACCTCTAAAGTCTATTTAATGGCAAAACTTTACAGGATGTACAGTTATACAAAAGTTTTCAACACATTATAATACTTAGACGTCCAACGTCAAGTCTTATACCACTAACATTGTGTAGAAGTTCAAGCAAAATAAAGATCAACGACCAAATCCAAATCATGGACACAAGTGAGGGGGTAGAAGTCGAAACCGATTCTTGGTATGAGCGGAGTGAGCAACCGTAAACTCTAGCTTTTAACAACGCTCTAAAAATATCAGAAGATACGACGAAACGCGCCGCTAAAATAGCGTAGTTTACCAAAGAATTTTACCAAAGCCGCATGTGTTGCGCTTCTGAGTATCATAAATATAAATTTGGCGATAAAATTCTCGACAAAACGTAAGCTTAGCTTGAATTTCGATGATTGATAAGACTAAATAAGTCAGATTCAATCATTCGATGAACGACACGTAGTGGAACGTCTGTATCATAAATAATATTGTTAGCTCAGAGCACAGAAATGTTGATCGGAGAAATTATTCAGTGTGAGAGCAAAGCATTTTCAGTACAATTTCATTAGGCGAATCTTGCATCTCAAGGGTTAAAGTCATCCCTATCAATTGAGACTGTTTCACGTATTCGAGACGAACAAATTTAGTAGAAAAAGGTAATAAAATTGCTTCATTTTAAGAAAAAAAAATTAGTTTTAGACGCACTGGTGAAATTTAACCTAAAATTCACGATGAGATTCAATTTTCCCAATGATAAGTATTTAATTCTTCATTTAGCGCCGAAATTAAAAAAGTAATCCTTTATAGACTCATCTATTATCCTTCAGCTGTAATAGACAGTATGACCATTTTAGCTAAGATCCCATACAAAGCACTTATTATTACAGTTATAATAACATACAGAGGGGAAAATTCAGTTTTAATAACATACAGAGGAAAAAATTCAGTTTTACTAACATACAGAGGAGAAAAATTGCAAATTATAATGTAATTTAGCAAATCTGGTGTACAAACCTTAGCGTTGCCCTCGATGTCAAGCAAGATGTTCTCCAGCTTCAGGTCGCGATGACAGATCTTGTGCTGAAGGCAAAAATGCGAAGAGTTCAGAGAGGGTAAAAAAAATATTACTAGGAGTAATATACGTTTAAAAAGTACTTTTTAAATACCACTCTTCTAAAGAGGCCGGTGTCTCCGATTTTACACATGTACAATGAATCTCTTATTTCATTTTTAGAAATGTAATACAAAAAATGTTTTATTATTAAAAAAATTTGTCCTCAATTTTTCAAATTATTCATTCTGTCGATTGATTCATGCATTGTCTCCGACTTTACGCAAATATGCAAAATTTTAGATCGATTAGAGAGGTAGAATGAAGTGTGGTAAAAATATAATTTTGATCCAAGTGACAGTATAACTTTAAACGTCAGTGAAAAATTTATTCCATTGCAAAAATAAGCACATCTTTCTTTTAAGAAACATGAATGACATCTGTCACAAAATAATTGAAAGAGCTTGAAATTCAGCAGTTGAATGTTAATAATTAACTTTTGTAAGTTAGGAACTGAATTACTTCGATAAAATAAAATCATATGAGCACGAAATTGTACTACATTTTAGAACGCATTATACACCGTATCTCCCCTTTTTGCCGCCGACATAAAAAGCATGACATTTCACTTTTTTTTGTCGATAAAAATTGCCCATTTATATTGCCAGTAAACTTGGACAAAGCTTATCACGGCCATTAATGATCGCAAAAGCCAGTCAGAGCTGCTTATGAAGAGTGATTCGCGGAACTTCTTGATTTGAAAGCTCAATAAAAAAATCTGGTAAAGATATCATTACATTATAAAATTTATTAAAAGAGAAATTAACTGAACTTTTGTATCACTTACTTTTGAAGATGACATTGGAAAAATAACGGTCCCCATTGTCAATGCTTTCAGTTAGTGAAGTTCCGTTCAACTCGCTGAAGCATATTGAGGCGTATGTTGGCGCTGGCTTGGCGTATTTTGTTATTCAGATGAAGTAGGGTCCTTGGACAGTCATTGTAAACAATTGATTTAAGATAATCTGCCCTAAATATGTTCACCCACGTAACAATCGATTTCCAATCGGGAACCCAACCCGAAGGATGAATATGGAACCGAGTACGGAACAATCGTTGAGCGATAATGGAAATGACATTTGAAAAGTACGCCTGGACAGCAAACTCGCGCTGCTCACGTGTTCAAGGCATAGTGGCAACTAAGCGGGACATAAAACTTCATAATCTTGCCTTTCATATGAAATACTGCCCGCCCTTTTCGTACAACATTTGGCTGCTTAGCGTGAAATACAAAAAAGAAAGTTTCCGTGAATCGCCTCATACTTTGTACTACACTAAAGGGTGCTGACAATACGTACTAATAAGTCGGGAATTCGAAACAGAATGCCGAAGCTTACCCAGAACGTCGAAATCATAAAATGCGGACGGATAGGACAATTCAGCAGTAATTGGAAGGAGGCCCCTAACTGTGTAAAACTCTCATTTGATTTAGCACCTTTTATAGTTATTCAGTTGGGTCAAAGTAAATCGACAGAACAATCGTAGTAACTTAGTAGTAGACGGCAGAAGCGACCTGTCTGACAGTCTAACCTTGTGACAGTAGTAGACGGCAGAAGCGACCTGTCTGACAGCCTAACCTTATGACAGTAGTAGACGGCAGAGGCGACCTGTCTGAAGACCCGTCTAGCCTCGTCAACACTCAGAACCTTCCTCTCGCTGAGGTAGTCGTAAAGCTCGCCCCCAGCAGCGTACTCCATCACCAGCACCATCTTCTCGCGGTTCTCGAACACTGCACAAATAATTAGTGCAAATTTGTGTTCAATCAATACCCATTAAATCAACGGTTTAAATTAACTGAGCTAAATAGGCTATTGAATAATACCCTTGATACGATAGTACGATGAGAGTAGAATAAAACGATTAGAATAAAAACATTCAAATTCATAAGTAATCGAAAAAATTTTTTTACACTTTTAGATTAGAATTTAGATTAGATCTATAGACCTAATTCGATGTACCAAATTAGATTTATGGACCAAATTTGATGTGCCATATTAGATTTATGAACAAAATTAAATTTCATGTACCAAATAGGATCTAAGGACGAAATAAGCTGCTATAAATTAGATGTTGTAAGTACCTTCGTAGATGTGGATGATCTGCGGATGCTGGACAGAGGACATGATCTGGATCTCCCTCCTGATGCGGATGAGGTCTTGCTCCGTCTCTATCTTGGCCTTCTTGATGGTTTTGATGGCAACCTACAAATCCATCAAATTATGTTAACCAACTAGCAGGTTTGGTATCAACTTATAAATTTATTAGATTAGGCTGATCAACTAGTCAGGTTAGGTTAACCAATTAATCCCCGGCTTGATAATTCCTGCAATTTAGAATCATGTTATCCCGAATTATCCCGAATCCCGTAATACCTAATAATTTTAATATATTAATAAAGTTTACATATTCTAATTAACCCTTAAGGATCTAGCTGTACATATTTGTCGCCCTTCATAAGGGCGATTTTTTGTTAACATTTGAAGCTCATTCATCCAATTGGACAAATGTATTGGCCTTCATTTCAGGCTGCGCTATGCCAAGTTAGAGGCTTAGTCGCCTGTCAGTTTTTTTTCAATGAATAAATTCCAGCAAAGCGGTATGGATGCAATGTAGTATTTTACACTCGTAACGTTGCTGGTCGCTAAAGGGTTTAATAAACACTTATTCAAGCTTACATTCTACATAGAAGATAGTACCCCCATTTCTTCTATCGTTTCAAATTGAAAAATCCTACATTTTCCACTGTTTTATTAAATTGTAATAACTTAAATTTGTAACATATTTAAACAATTTAAATTTAATTTATATTTGCCAATTATTGTAAAATTAAGTTTTAGCTTACGATCCAATCGTTCCTCCCTTTCCTACAATCGCATTCTGTTCTCTATTTACTTAATAATAAACTATCAGATCCATGTAATTTTCAGGTCCCAACAACCCCAATACATTTTCGGTACCAACACACGCACACCCACAAAACACCTTCGAAAAAATGTCTATGAGATTAACATAACATAATTCAAATTTTTGGCTTGCAATCAATATTGTATTGATATTTGCTTTCAATATCAATACCAGCTGGGTCATAATTTCAAAACTCGCTAAGGGAACGTAAGTACTTACGCTCTATTTTCGTGTCTATGATTGGTGGATTTTGCTTGAAAGGCCGTCAATGATTGGCTGATGAACTTATGATCTCTTAACTTCTTTAGAAAGTATAGGCTCACTGTACAAGCTGTAGGCTATTAAGTGCTCCACGACACACGTGCCACAACACACCTCTTGTCCCGTATCCTTGTTGACGTATCCACAACTTACGTACCTCTTGTCCCGTATCCTTGTTGACGGCGAGCTGAACCTTGCCGTACGTGCCTTGCCCGAGCTTACGCAGGATGTCGAACCTGATCGCCGGAACATAAATAAACCCATACTTCAGGCCAATTCATGTTGTATACCAAACGAAATAGGAATTTATAGGCTCTTTCTTCTGGCTGGTCATTTATACGAGGCAGAAAGCGCCGGCTCATAAATAAATCCATATTTCAGAGCAATTCATAGTGTATACGAAATGAAATAGGGACTTATAGGCTTTTTCTTCTGGCTGGTAATTTATACGAGGCAGAGTTGTGAGAGGGCAGAAATTATGATGAGTGACGTTGATTTATAACAGACTAACACGTATTTTAAATTTGTACATGACCTAAAATTTCATCCTTTCGTATTGTTTAATATTATTTTTAGAATTATTATTTTTCTTCTCATTTCATAAATTTACTTATTATTTTATTTTATTTTATTTCTATTTTTTTTTTAAACAGACGAGTCCGTTTATCAAGTTTAAGAAAATTATAGTGAGCGTTCAAGAAAAATTCAGTAAAACTAGTGTTACTTTATGAAAAGAGCATAAGAGAGTGAAAGCTAAAGGTTAAAATTATGCCATAGATTGCAATTATGTATGATGAATGCGAGTTAACTGTACGTCGGATGAATTAATTATTTAGGCGAACGATGGGAGTTTGCTTTGCGATTACCTACCCTTACTCTATAGGAACTTTTATAGCGTATTATCCCAAGATGCTTGCTATACTTTAGTTTAGAATACTTTTTAGTTAGTAGTTTAATTTGCTTTGCGATTACCTACCCTTACTCTAGGCACTTTTATAGCGTATTAGCCCAAAATGCTTGCTATACTTTAGATTAGTTTAGAACGCTTTTTAGTTAGTAGATTAATTTAGTATAATTTAGAATGCATATTAATTAAAAAATGTCACCAATGGTTAGAGCATTTGTTTGTATCGCAGGTAGTAAAGGTTGACTGTCGATTCTAACGCATTCTATAATATTTAACACTCACTCATGCATGGTTAACTTAATTTCAGGCATATTTACTGTTCATTTCGAACAAATTAACGTCACAGTATAAAAGAAGTTTCCCACATTTTCCACCATTGCCGTTATCTTTTTTTTTTTTTGCAAAGATATGGTTCCGGTTTCATATGTTAACATAAGTTAACTTGACATTTCACAAATCATGACATTTCACGAGAGCGGCCAGTCATTAAGATGCAGAACAAATCTTTTTACGGTGTTTTTCTGAGAAAAATTTTCCGAAGCAAATACATGTAAATTAAATTTTGAGAATAAGCGGCGTAGGAATATAATGAAATACCACACAAAAGAAGTTTACAACATGCGCGCAAATTTAAGAAATATGAATGATATAAAATAAGCTGTGAAGGCAGCTCTCTCTGAGCTGGTGTTGATGAATAAGTTACAACATGCATAGAATAAGTTTACAGCATGCAAACTTATTTAGAGTAGACATAAAACAAGCAGTACAGGCACCTCTGTTTAAGCTTGTGTCGGTGAGAATGTAATACGTACAAAATAAGTTTACAACATGCAAATTTGAAAAAAAATGCGGTGAATGCAGCTCTTTCTGAGCTTTTGTTGATGAAGATGGAATACTGCATAGAATAGGTTAACAACATGCAAACAAATAATAAAACCAGCAGTACAGGCACCTCTGTTTAAGCTTGTGTCGGTGAGAATGTATTACGTACAAAATAAGTTTAAAACATGCAAATTTGAAGAGAAAAATAAAAAAAATGCGGTAAAGGAGGCTCTTTCTGAGATTTTGTTGATGAAGATGGAATACTGCATAGAATAGGTTTACAACATGCAAACATATAATGAAACCAGCAGTACAGGCACCTCTGTTTAAGCTTGTGTCGGTGGGAATGGACTACCGTAGAAAATAAGTTTACAACATGCAAACATATAATGAAACCAGCGGTACAGGCACCTCTGTTTATGCATAGAATAGGTTTACAACATGCAAACATATATTTTCATAGTTTATAACATGCAAACATATAATAAAACAAGTAGTACAGGCACCTCTGTTTAAGCTTGTGTCGGTGAGAATGTAGTCGCACCCCGGCCGTGTTCTCCATCCCACCCATGATGTTGCTGATCGCTCCCTCCGACACCACCATCTTGTTAACGATCTGTTGTAAATATTAATATAATTATAAATAATGTATTATGCATTTATTGTTAACGATCTGTTGTCAATATTAATATAATTATAAATAATGTATTATGCATTTATTGTTAACGATCTGTTGTCAATATTAATATAATTATAAATAATGTATTATGCATTTATTGTTAACGATCTGTTGTCAATATTAATATAATTATAAATAATGTATTATGCATTTATTGTTAACGATCTGTTGTCAATATTAATATAATTATAAATAATGTATTATGCGTTTAGTGTTGTTATTAAGACATTATATAATATATATGTAAGTGTGAATCATCGACACTTTTTATAGATAATGTAACATTGAAGAATATAGGCAGATAGCCATATAGTAGATACACTTTACCGTTATTAAGACTTTATATCATATGTATTTGTTAATATACAACAGAGCGGGAAAACAGGGAATTCACGATCAGTTGTTCGCCATGGGAAGACATTTCTAAGTCGGAACAAATTTTCGCCGTAGGGAGAAATATAATTCAAATGGGAATTTTGCATTTATAATTGGAAAATATTAATAAATATATTATTTATTAATTATTAAGTAGAAATTACTTAATAATTAGAATGAAAGTTTTTTATTCTGACTCGATATTTGACGACATTGTTCAGGAAGAAAAAATACGAATTTCTAATTTAGTCTCTGACGAATCTTTTTGCGATACCGGCTCCACAGCTGAAGGCATTTCTGATGCACTACAAAATCTTAGATTTAGTCTCTGCCAAATTTTTGAAAAATAGTGCGACAGTTCACGGTTTCCACTTAATAAAATTCTTATATACTGAGAATCTAAAAATAATCAAAAACATTGTCTTTAACTGAAACGGTCAAGATTTATGACCTCGAACCCAATCATATAATAGACCAAGTCAAGCAATCGCCTCAACCTGGGGCCATACTTTCAAAAAAAGTAAAGAGATCGTAAGTTCATTAACCAATCATTGACGGCCTTCCAAGCCAAATCCACCAATCATAGACCAGAAAATAGAGCGTAAGTACTTACGTTGACTTAGCGAGTTTTGAAAGTATGGCCCCTGATCACGAAAGTCACGCGAGTCCAAACGGCCCTCAGAGAAATTAGTGAAACTTTGTCCAAATAACGATGCATTTTTTGCCTTTGCGAGGGTCATCCTGAACAAGTTTGATCCGCAAAATAGCGTATCAGAGCTACGAGTAGAAAATGAATCATTATTTAGACAATATGACTCATTCGTTGTTCTGTGTGGGATACGGCCAGCTCGGTAAATGCATAGATATTTTTCCATATGATACTTAACGTGATACTTAAAATTGAAAGAAACACTACATTAATACTGAAATGCCTTCATCATTTTCAGTTAAAGGCTCTATATATAATAGCATAGCTATTTTTTCATATTTTTACGCTGTACTAATGTCGCTCGATTGCTTGAATCGCAGATTCACAAGAAATTTAAAAACGAAGAAAACGCCACAAAAATTCAGCATTTCTCTATTGAATAGAAAATAGAAATAGAAATTCTCAATTGAATTTCAATAGAGAAATGCTGAATTTTTGTGGCGTTTTCTTCGTTTTTAAATTTTTACGTTGTACGTAATACTTAAAATTGACAGAAACACTACATTAATATTGAAATGCCTTCTTCTCTTTCTGTTATAAGGCAATAAAGAACCCAAGAGCGCGTCAAAACACACATTCTGCTCGTCTGTATGGCTGTACAGTACACAAGTGTAGGGTGCGTTGCCTTATACAGGCAGCCAGACATGTCTGCAGAGTGTATACAAGTACACAAAGACCGACGACATCTATATGCAAATATACAAGGTCATGAAAAATTGTGCTAACTGATAGTATAAATTCAACGTATGACTGCCGATATGATTGACGTTCATTTTTGAACGATAGGAAAGGGGGAACGACTTATTATTAACATTAAATAATGATGTTAGTACGACTATATTAACATTATATCGGTGTAGTGATGGATACTGTAGACGTACACATCACACAGCACACACAGGTGGACGCTATGTATGCTGGGCACAGTACACAGTCAAAGTAAACATTTAGAACGATGATTATACAGAATGTAAATAACGTGAGAGCCATAAACTTCTACCACAGATGCAAGGTAGAGTCGTGCAGTATAGCATCTATCTACCTCTACCAGGAGCATGTTGTACTGGCAGAGCAGCTCTCCCAGCGTGGCCGCCTGCCAACACAGCATGCCAGGTCTCTACCCGCTTGTTCCCTCTTCCTTATATCCTCTTGTTCCCTCTTATTTTCATTATTTTCCCCATTTATCCTGTTGATTATTTTCCCTCGTCTTTTATTATTTGTTCCCTATTTATTACCCTTATTATCCTTTTCTTCCCTCCACTACCATCTTTTCTCCTCATCATCCATCCTCCACCCAATTCTTCCCTTTTTTCTGTCTCTCGCAATTCATCTCACTATTTACTCAAACCTCTTTTCCCGTTTGTATATATTCTCGTCTCTCGTTATTTGTACCCATCAGTAATCACATTTCCTTTGCCTTCATTATAATACATAATAAGTTCCATCAAATGTTCTTAATTTTCCCCCAATGAGTGATTTCACTCAATGCCTCAGGCACTCAAATGTTTGTCCAATGTTAGGGTCGTCAAATTACTTCAGTCTGGTAAATATGTGAGACTGTCCATATTTCGATGCAGTTTTTGCCCTGCATCCTGACCCACTTTTGCCCGACCAGTTTATGAATTGTGTGTGCGTTGCGCTGCGAGAAGAGCTTAAACGGAATTATAACGAAATTACATAACCCTTTACCGCCGTATGTCACTCTCCGGGAACATAACTTTCAACATAAATTATACGTAAACTATTAGTGTATAGCAACCTGAGGACGTTTGTACACAACAGAGAACATTTGAAAGTTGTTGTACGTGGCGGCAACCATCAGTGCAAGTCATTTTGCGCTCACTAGAACGTATCCTTTTTGGGAAGTAGGCTTATGACAATATTGCTTCGGTTACTCGTGTCAGGCGGTAGAGGGTTGAATACAATGGCCATATTTTCCTTCATGTTTTGAAGAAAAACTTACTTAATAAACTTACTTACTTGTGAACTATTATTACGAACTATTACCATATTCTTCGTCAAGTTTTGAACTTAAAGCGAATTAGCAACAAATAAACGTGTTTCGTTGGAAAACGATTGCTTCATAATCTAGGAGTGCACAAATAGAAGCAATTCTTTAAGAAAAATTTTCGTGAATATTCACACCCGAAATTACAGTCAATTTTATTTCTCCTCAAAGTGAACCGATTTAGCCACAACATAATTCTTACCTCACGAAGTGTTTCGATTGATATTGTTCAAGCTAAAATATTAAGCTAATTACTGCTTGAAAAATACTAGAAAATGAATCGGAAAAATTGAACAAAAACACTTGTCGCACCGAAATGAAAATATTTCTTCATTTAATTTATTTACTCGTAACTGAATTTAATTAATCTCCAGTCCAGTACGATCGCAAGCACAGAAAGCCGTACACTCAAAGAAATGACCGCGTCATTTTGTCCAAAAAAGCGACAGTTTTGTGCACGTATCACTGATACTCCATCGGCCAGTCCAAACCGAGTCAGGACAAGGACAGGAGGAGCATCGTAATCTAAATAAAGTCCCATATATTACCCTGAGTGCGTGCGCCTTGGCAAGATAATTGCACGGGTAACTGGAGCAAAGCTCAGCCTTATAGGTGGCGAGAATAAGGCAATAACAACAATTTAAACATTTATAAAATACAACATTTTAAGAATTAGATCAGTACTCACTGCAGTGAGTGACAGAGATCTTATTTTCTCGTCGACGAAAACGTTAAGTCACGGAAAGGCAGACAGACGGACGGACGGACATGGCGAGCACAATAGCGCCTTTTTTCCATAAATGAGAAAATGCGCTGAAAATGGACGGGTCATATTGACTAAACAATGACACTTTATGCGCGTAACACTGATACGTTTTTCGCCGTAGAAACTAGGTCAGGATGATAGACACAAGAGCTACAGGTGCACAGATATGCGGGCAAAGTGTCACTTATTTCTCTCAGTGTACGCTTCCCCATCAGAAAGAACACCGTCAGAAAGATCTCCATCAGAAAGATCTCCATCAGAGAGATCTCCATCAGAAAGATCTCCATCAGAGAGATCTCCATCAGAAAGATCCCCATCAGAAAGATCCTCATCAGAAAGATCTCCATCAGAAAGATCTCCATCAGAAAGATCTCCATCAGAAAGATCTGCATCAGAAAGATCTCCATCAGAAAGATCCCCATCAGAAAGATCCCCATCAGAAAGATCTCCATCAAAAAGATCTCCATCAGAAAGATCTCCATCAGAAAGATCTCCATCAGAAAGATCCCCATCAGAAAGATCCTCATCAGAAAGATCCTCATCAGAAAGATCCTCATCAGAAAGATCTCCATCAGAGAGATCTCCATCAGAAATATCTCCATCAGAAAGATCCCCATCAGAAAGATCTCCATCAGAAAGATCCCCATCAGAAAGATCCCTGTCTCTTATACACATCTAGATGTGTATAAGAGACAGGTGCAGTATAGCATCTATCTACCTCTACCAGGAGCA